ATCGAAGGGTGAATATGTGACCAATTCACACTGATCCTGCTCTAAAGCCTGCCTGGTTCTCTCATGGACAGCTTAGTCTGCGCATTATTATTGAGCCTAGGACTTTAGATACCATATTAGTCAAGCTAATCCCCCTGTGATTATCACAGGAAGACTTGTCTCCCTTCTTGTATATGGTCTGATGGGATTTCCTCTGATTCTCAGACACTGCCTGATACCTTGGTCAACGTGGACAGTAAACTGTCTCCGCCGTCCCTAAGCAACTCTAGAGTCATTCCATCAGGTCACGCAGCTTTGACTCGTTTCAGACTAGTAACAGCCTTAGCAGCCTCAGTTAGGTACGGAGAACCTGTGTCTATATCCCATTCAGAGTGATGTTGGATAAGTTGAGCTTGACTGTAAGCGAATTAAACTGCTCCTCAAAGTGTTCTCTCCAACGTTCCAGTCGTCTATCCTGGGAGCTAATTGTGGTGCCATTTGTCTGAGAGATTGTTTCACTTACCGTTTGCCACCTATTCCCCTGATAAGCCTAATTGGTTGTCTGGTGTTACCTATAACCGATGCTTTTCCCATCTCTTTTGCTTTTGTCACCCACCACAGTTCACCGTCGTTAAGAAGGCTTCTTGTTAGTTGCTGTTTGAGCAGCTTTCGCTCCTCGTCATATTCGGGACTCTCCGGAATCAGTCTTCTTGCGTCTACCAGTTTGGATGAGGTAGTAGAATTCCACTGGCTCTTTCTAACTTTTGGTTTCAGATTATTAACAGCCTTTACAGTTGTGTCTACAGATACTTGTATGTTGTGCCAGGCTTCCTCAGGAGGAGTCCTGCTGTCACTGTCAACCTGAGATACTCGTTTCGCTATTTCTTCCTTGAATAGGGACTCAGAATTTCGATCTAGTTGGGTGCATAAGTGCTTCGCTGCCAACAGTTTTTTATTTCTATTTAATCATAAGTAAAAACGTGCGCGAACCAGTGCTCGCCGGAAGTTAGTGCTTACTAGGAAGAGATGATTATCTGAAGGGAACTGTGGAAGATGATCACCGTTGTCGGTTCGTCGACGGGGAACTCTGTAGGTACCACCTATATACTTCTCAGTTGAGCATAACTTCCCTACTCGGGCGTTGAAGTCGCCTGTTGAAACAACTGTATCTGAACTTTTGCTTTTCGCAGCAAACCAGACATTTTCTAGTAGAAATCATCCTTTAATTCATCCGAACTGCAGTCTGTTGGGGCGTAGGCGGTGGCTATGAAGAGAACGATGGGTAACATAGTCCTTCCTTCTTTTAACACACTCGTCCAGACGGACCAAACACATACGGCTATCTACTGAGACCCAGTCAAGAAGTTATTTTTATTCCCTAGCAGTCAATAGTATCCCTACTTCTACGAGTCCCCACGAATTACCTGAGTCTCTTGACACACTAAAGGTGAACTTTTCAGATTCACCTCGTTGGTTGGGTGAGGTTAAGTGAATGACCACACTTGGTTCTTGTGTGCATGTCTCCGAAATACAACATACGTCCATGGCTCGAGATGCGAGAGTTCTGGCTAGTGATGCCTGGTGACCGATTTGGAAGAGGGTCCTGACGTTGAATGCTGCACTATGAAGTTTGCGGCGTGGCTTTAAGAGGCTGTCGGGGATGTTTCTATGGCTCTCATCGTTGTTTGTGGTCAGAGAGTGAAGAGCAGATGACTGACTAGCCTATGGAATAGTACTGACAGTAGTAAAAGGTAAGATGATAAGTGTGACAGGGATGAAGGAGGACTTGGTGTACTTCCGGAAATGTGTGGGTGGCTGTTACTTCCCGGCTGATACATTGTGGAAGTTGATTGATTTTTGGGGTGCCTGAGACAGAAAGAGGGTTAGTATTGCGTGACCTCAGAGCCCAACGGACAACCGCTTGAGGCCGGTCACACACGGCCTGTATGAACCAGTTTCTGGGATTGATTCCGTATTAGTAAACTTACCTCCGGTTACGGACCACTGTAGGGTAAGTCGGAATGTACAATTGTTGAGGTTGACCTTTTCTAACCCCCTTCCTCCAGAGTGGAGAGACAGCATAGGTGGCTGGCATGCTGGTCATCTGAAGGAAACACCTTACTGCTGTTGCATTCCTGTTCCCCAGCAGTACGACTATGCCCACAGACCCCCAGCATAGTGCAGAAAAAAAACTCGCACTATGCAGGTAGCTGCTTTTAATCTAGTCGCTATCCTAACAACCTTCCTGGCATGGTAGGACCTGCAGGAACAATAGTCCCAGCCAGTGTAGCTTGTTGGATCATTGCGATATGCAAACCCAACCACCACGTCAAGGTAGCAGATATCGGTCGGGAGTAAATGACAATGGATTTCTACAGCTTCAACTGAATTGATAGACGCAAGAAGACGAATTCCCGCGGGCTGCTAAAATGTAAGATAGCTAAATGTCTTCGACTGTGAAAAGTTGTCGTTAACAAATGAGAAGAAAACGGATAAGGCGATGAAGGTAGGTAACAGCAGAGGATTATTTAGACTCATTAGAGAAACAGATTATAAGAAACCGATGGCAAGCGAAATAATTATCTTTCGGGTCAGAAGACTGGAATGCTAGTGAAAACACAGAAATTTAACTGGCCTACAGCCGTGCTCAGCACCCAATACCTACCTGAATGGGATGTCGATGTTGGTCCTCTAATTGTAACTGAATTTTCAAATACTCTCTGAATTGAAATAGACAAAGCAGTGGGAGCTGACGAAGTGACTTCAGAGGTGTTTAAGGATGGCAGTGATGAACTATTGTATGGTCTAAGATATTAGGTCCGCTGTGAGAATCGAAGATAGTCCCTTTAAACTGGTGTATATAATTGATTTTCGTAGTTTCTAGGAAGGAAGACAAATCTATGTGATTAGCCTGGTTAACATCGTATCTAAAGTTCTGGGTTCAGAAACCATGCGTAATTTGAGCCAAGTCCAGGCGAAGCGTGCCAGCCTTTAAGCTAGACAGAGTGCTTACTGATCATTTCTCCACCCTTCAGTAGATTTTGGAACATAAGCATACTTACTGGCGACCAACACTTGTCATATTTCTTGACATGGAGGTGTTTGGCTTCGTCGACCGAGAGGTGCTTTGGCAGCGTCTGGCTGTGAAGGGAGTTACCGAGAAAGCATATCACATTGATTGAGTAAGTTTAGTCGAACTAATACAGCCATGGAAGAGCTAACTGAGAGTTGTCATCTGAAGTGACAACAATCAGTGGTGTTCGCCAGAGATGACTATTTCTCACCATTTTCGCTTAACTTCACAATACATTTGCCAACTGAATCGAAGTTAGAAACTCAGGGATTGACTTACCAGGGAACAGTGTAGTTAACCTAGAGTATATAGGTGGTACTGCGATTCTGAATACCTTGAACAGAAGCTCATACAGACAGCTATTATCATTTTTGCGGGTGAAGAATTAACCATATGACTATGCCACCGCCATTCCTAATGAACCTTTAATCCGTCTTAAAAACTCTTCCTCAGCCTAATGTCATCTTCCTTACAATCTAAAATTACTTAATCTGACTTTGTTTTTCCTAGCTTTTATCTACTACATCTATCTGGACATTTGTTTGTATAATCATGCTACTTCCCATTACCCCTGTTACCACAACTTATATGGTTATGAGCAATACATTGTCATTGTCGAAACGTCGTTAGTGGATAATACTGTGTGATTTATATCAAATAAAATTATTCTACGATGGAATGTTTCGTACATTAGCGAAGAGCCTGATGATATCTAATGGTAAACAATGTTGTTCGCTTACATGTGTTGTTGAAAAACATGACTTCACGGATTGATGTTTTCATCTAACCACCTGTGCAACTTTTATCCAAACTGCTTGCACTTTGTGCGTCGTTGGCACAGCGGTTAGGACGTTCGCCAACCACGCATTTGGTCCTGAGTTCGATCCCCGACCGACGTACTCCTTTACCTCGCTAAGTCAGTAGTAAGGCTGGTCAAGAGGGAAGGTTGGGCATGAGGCTAGCAACCCCATCCTGTGAAAATAAACACTGATACAGAATCTTTAAGTCTCTAGCTTGAAGCACCATGTTCCACTGGGAACGTGAAGGAATAAAAAAACATTGCACTTCAACTAGTAACGTTTGTCAGCACTGTAATTTGTCAGCGTTTACAGTATGAAACTGTATGCACTTAGGAAATTATTACTTTTTTACTTCGAGATTCCGAAATTCAGATAATGTATGGATGTAGCACTTGGTGTACTTCTGCAACGTGAACATCATATGCACGGATTTATCTACAGATTCCATTTCTAAAGAATTTATTACTGATTCATGCGAGACTATGTGCATTCTTGAACTATATTAGGTGAGTAAGAACTCCGGGACATTACCCCACTCAAACGACAAGGTGTTACACAAGATAAACTTGGTCGATATACCAAAGAAGGGATGAATACAGATCTGGTCATACAAAGTCAACGAAACGGTAATTGCAGCGTAATCTCTGTTGATCGCAGTCTTAAGAAATGTCGGATGTTTCAGACCATTGAGTGACATGATTTCTCGGCTTCCACTTAGCAAATACCTATGCACCATGTACCGATTTAAAATATCTTTCGTCAAGATGACCACCACTTTATCCAATTAAACTAGACTCCGAACCAGAGACGAGTAGGGAAGTCACCCGAATGAACGTTCAAGTTGCAGTATAATTTGTCCTAAGATTATATTACAAGTAGACCTTAAGATGTTGAAACACGAGACTTTAACACAGAACGAATTACATGTTACTGTTAGTGGACATAAATAATCCTCTAGGGACGTTATTCATCAAAGACAAAGCATCATCGGACATCCAACCTTCAGAAAGCCAATTTTCGTAAATAAAGCAAGAGTGCAAACAGAAAAGCATTTTAAGACCTACATTTGATGATCAGAGTTACTGTTGACCTAGACTGATGGACAGCTTTGCTCCTAGATATACGAATACAAATAAAAACTATGACTACTCTACTGACTCTTATCGCGACCAACTACAAATAAGAACGTTTTGCCTTCTAACAGTCTAGCTTACAAAGTAATGGCACGCATAGACCAATGTTGCACATCCTCAGTGTGAAGAAATTAACGCAGCTTGTACACTAGATGTATGTCATGAGGATTATATCGGTCATTAACAGAGAAAACTGCGAAGATCGCGGCATTATGAGATGATTGAATAATCGGTGAAATATAATTTCCAAAAACCTAATCAGTTCTAGAATCCTGCTTTTACCTTTAATTTGGCTAGGAACAAGCGACCACAGAAAACTTGCACTATTTTCTTCAGTATAGTCCCTACTTTGAAAAATGCTGTATTTACAAGCTAAACGTTCAGATTATCGCACGACAGTGATACGCAACACTTAAAATGTAAAATGATCAGCAAACAAAGCGTCTATAGAGACGATATTAAGAAAATCACAATATACCAATGTATATCTGCATAAAAGCTTAAGACTCAACTCTACAATCAACAATAGAAGTACTGATATGCTTGCGAAGTAGTCAAACACCAATTTCTAAACTTGCAAATAATAACAACCACCAAAAAAATGTAACGAGATTAAGACAATGAAGCAGTAAGCAAGTACTGGTGAAAACTGAAAGTTGACTTTACACATTATTTTCTTTTTTGAATTGCTATTTGTAAACACAATAATGAAAAAGTCAGACTATTGGGACAAGTATACAAACTAGACTTAATCAAGTACTAAGAAGGTTTGGCTTCGGGTTCTGGTTCTTTATTCCAATCCTTTAGTCCAGGAGGTAGCGATACATCTTCGTCCAAGGAGCCTGTGTAGGCAAGAAAAAGACATTTCAATTAATCACAGTTAGATTACAAAATGATGACGACGGTACTACAGATTTATTTAAACAACGTAAAAGATTAGCACATTTTGTAATACCAGTCTTGTTCTTCTTGGTTTAAAAGATGAACAAGGCAGCACGTTCAACGACATGAATGAGACTGTCTAAGATCGCTTATTTGAAGCACTACCTTGTTTTTGTCTATGCCAATACTGACTATTACATTCACACAAATCGGACAGATGAGATAAAAGGTAATTTTATGGAAGGAATTCACTGCAAATAACAATGAAAACTGGCTGGTACTGCAAGAATTCGGTAGACGTAAATGTTAACCACAGGTGTGTTAACACAAGTCCATGTATATGCAGAACTGGCTAACCAAAGACGGAAAGTCTTCAATAACAATCAAGAGCTAATTATAATTTCAGCGTTTAGTCTTCAGTCGACATATAAAACAATTAAACTAAACACTAAGACTACAGTAGAAATTCAAAATTTAATTAAAAATCTCGCTTGAAATCTTGTGAAAAATGCTCAGTGAACCTAAACAACATGCAAATAGCAACAACTCTAGTCTCTGAAAAGAATCGGACGAATTTTTTAATTTGTAAACAGTGCGAATTTATTTCAACGGTTAACATAGATTAGGTTCATTAGCCACAGACGAAAACCTATTATTACTTTTGTCCCGAAGGGGTGTATTCTTCAATTCACAAATAAAACAACACTATTGAAAATAAATCTACATTGGTAAAACTATCAAAGAGATTGTCTGTGAGGGTTATCAACACAAACAGTAATCTTTTACCTCAGTCCCTTTTCTATGTATATTGAAAATGATTTGTGTAATAAAATAACTTCCAGTTGTGAGATAAAATTAACTTACCAGGACCAACAAGTTCTTCGTAAGTGCTTTTTTCAGCAAACGGCCTTGGACCTAGTACTTCAATTAGGTCTTCCTTCTGCAACTGTTCTTTTTCCAGTAGACGTAAAGCCAGCTAAAAACGAAAGGGCAGAGAAAATGAAGAGGATAATAAATAAAAGCTGCGCAATTTCATCTGTTTCGATAAGTTACCTAACCCATGAAAATTCTACACTCCACGGATAGACTCCCCGCATACTTTATATACGGAAGAGTTACGAGGTTATGATAAATGACATAACAATCCACCATAGTTACAAAACAGAAAAATAAAAATGTGATTAAGGAAAGGCAGGATTCAGAACACGCGGTGGTGTACATCAAAGGCGATGGTCTACTTTGATCATAGTAGATCCATCTCACAATACTGTGCAACAATAAAACGACATGATATTTTATGTACCCTTTGCAAAAGCGATGCGCTGTTTAAAATGATATATAGCGCTAAAAAGTTATTCGACAGAGAAAAACAACGATTAAGTTGCCTTTATGAATCAATATATCTCGTATAAAGAAGAACCTCAATCTCATCACGAACAATAAAAAATAGTTTACAAATTGACATTCATATCAACTGAGCACACTTAGGTATAGTGATTGCATTACTGACACTGCGGCAAAGTTGTTTGCCCCTCTTGTTTCACTTATACACACAATGAAGGTTTTAAAAATGTTGCTTAACATAATGACTTGGACTAGTGTACCGTTCAAATAACAATCGTGCCTTTTTTTCAGTTGTGTAATGAATTCGATTTAATGTGATTATGAATTAATAAGAAAACAACATGAGGTCAAAACATTCTCCACTAGATAAATGAAAGCTTGAATTACACTTTTTTTTCTCAGCTTTCTGAAAATCTCTTAACTTTATAGATATGGAAACTTGATGCATATCTTGAATATAAGAAAGTGAATGCATCTTTTACTCAGCGTACAATAAATAATCCAACAGAACTATAAAACATTTTTCATATGGCTACTAAGAGAGAGTCTTGAATACTATTGGTGAGAGATGACATAGTCAATCGAGGTACGCGTTTTTGAGCTATGAATTATAACCTATGTCTAAATAGACTATTCATTTGAAGCCAAATCGGTAGGAATATACAGTTATTCTCCGGAATATATACACACATATACGCTGAAATAATTCTAATGCCACAGATAAATAACATAATTTGACTGGAATTGAGGAAAGAATGCAAGGGACTTACTTCTTCAACAAGCTTTCTCTTGTCTCTTAGTATGGCTAATGTCCTTTCGTATGCAGATTGAACAAGTTGTCTGACTTCCTCATCAATTATTTGTGCTGTATGCTCAGAGTACGGTTTAGTAAGCACCATATCCCCTTGTTGTGGTAAGTCAAAACTTAGTAGGCCAACTTTTGAGCTGAAGCCTAGTTGAACAATTTGTGAATATGCTGAACGGGTGACGCGTTGTAAATCATCGACTGCACCACTTCCTACTTTACCGAAAAACACTTCTTCACTTGCTCGACCACCTAGTGCTAAACACATTTCATCCAACATTTGCTCTTTAGTATGCAAATATATATCTCTGGGTTGGTATTGTGCATAGCCTAAAGCTTTACCACGTGGAATTATGGAGACTTTTAGCAGAGGATTGCAATGTTCTAAAAACCAGCCAACAACAGCATGTCCTGCTTCATGATATGCGACTGTCTTTTTCTCCTCAGGTTGTAAAACCTAGTTGAACAATGCAAAACAAAGCTTATACAATAAGGTACTAACAAACATCTGTTCATGTTCAAGTGAATGCATGCAATAACATCAAGAAAATATACAAAAAGCACTGAAGTATTTCAAAAACAAACATAGCTTCAACGTCAGCTGTTGCACCTTTCTTCATCCCTTTGTGTTCCATATGTGGAACATAGGGTTTCATGCTTTGAAGCTTCAGTAGCGATGGTGCTCTTTTACAGGATGAAATTGCCAACCTCAAACACAACCTCAATTTTCCTCAGGCTTATTATCGGCTAGTTAAACAGGCAAAGTTTAGGAGTGGGGTGGCCGGGAATTAAACCCTGACTACCCACTGAATCACCGACGCATGAAATGTACAGATGTGAAAAGGATATACGCTATTTAGTTTCAAAGGAAAATTGGTGATGACAGTAAACACTTCGGAAATGTAAGAGAGACAAATTAACTGATATGGATGATAGGTAAAGTAAACGAAAAACTTTCATCTAACAGAGTAACTAACTGCATACACACTGCCATACTTCGTTCTCATATATCAAATGAAAACTGAGTCTTCCCGGTGATTTAAATATAATATTGTTATTTTGTTAAGCAAATCCATTTTGATCAAAAGAAATGCATATTAAATTTTTTAAATTTTTGATTTTGATTTTTTTTTTATTTACAGCTTGATTCCACACCGCATTTTCAGTACAAGTGTGGAATTTTCAGCATGGATATCGGTAGCCCAAATTCAGGCCGACCATAGATATCGGGTGTGCGCCGGCAGGGGATCGAACCCCCGGACCATGTGCATGGTCGGCGAGAGTCCTAACCACTGTGCCACCGACGCAATGTAATATAACATTATCAATAAAATTATTGATATTACAATAAAGCATTATAAGAAAGATTTCGAAATATAAGAACAGAATTTGTGCACTGTGGTAGAGTATAATTCCATTATGGGTAAAATTTATTTTGACAAAGTTTCGCAGTGTTATACAGTAATATTTACTGATGACCACATTTCGAGCACAATTTACTACTACTCAAAGTCATACCAAGGTACTCACACAACTTTCTAACCTCGTTTAGATAATTCTATTATTTTTCATCCCTTTAATTGATTGGTAGTAGTATTTTCCATATTTCCGGTATGAGTGATGATTCATTTCTATGGCGCGTGTTGCTCGACGCGTCATCAATATTACTGTATAACATTGTGAGATTTTATAAGAATAAATTCTACCCACAATGGAAGATTTCAATATGTTTTAGTAATCCTGAAACTGTTCAAATCCCATACAGAGGAAGATTGACTGCAGCTGCATACACCAAACACGATGAAGAACACGGTTAGTTGGTTCAAAAAACATTTACACGTGCAAATATCGACGCCTCGCAACTAACAAGATTAAATATGACCAAAAACAATGACCAAGTAGTGACATAACGTATTATTTATTTATTTAGACGCAGAAAAACTTGGTAGAATATGGCACCAAGAAAGATGCGCCACACAATATTGTGTGAGGGCTGAGATACTGCCCGGGCGCCCAGACCGAAGCAGGTGGTTTTCCTAAGGGACCACCCCCGAGCCTTTGACTTGGAGTCTAATCCGCAAGGCAGCGGAGCAGCGTCAGGAGCTGCGTTCCCATGGTTGCCGGTGACCCATATGGGTTCATACGCCATTTGATCCGATTGAATTCTGGAGCCCATGTACCCCATGTTAACTGCTTTTAGTCTAACCGCTATCCAAACAACCTTCCTGACATGGTACGACCTGCAGGGATATGAGTCCCAGCCAGTTTAGCTTGTTGGGTCACTGCGGCATTCAAGCCCGACCACCACGGCAAGGTAGCAGTTATCTTTGAAGCAATACGTCATAAAAACGTGTACTATGAACAGAACAACAGGCTTAAAAGCTATTCAGACACTTATCAAGCGATATTTCAACTTTAAGTAACCGGTTAGTGTTTCGGTAAACCCGATAGTGAATAGCTTAAAACGATAGTCAACAGAATGTGAAATGACTAATTATTCATGGCTAACACATACAACGAATGTGATATTTACACAAACGGCTTTAGCTGTTCAACCATATAACACATTTTTGAAATGATGAGTTTGTGCGAACTTAACTGTTTTCAAGGCAGATTTCGTCAATAGCCAACATTGGCTGAAGAACTGTCAACAACCAAGGCGGGTAGAACAGTTATTTCGTTCAATTTTGGCTAAATTCAGTACTGAACAACCATGACCTGACCAATATATCACATACCGAGAGGAGAGCACACTATTATCCAGCCAATAGGTCAGAATTTAATAGTTCATGACTTCCAACCTTCATCAACTCGTACATTTGCACCACCATATAATGAGTAAGCATCTAGGTACCATCTTTAGCACGATTTATGAAATTGTGTAATTCTTTCATAGATAATATGAAGTCAAATGCTGCTGCCACGTTTTCTTCTCGGAAATCAATCGGCTTTCAAATACTTCCTATCTGCAAAATCGCCAACACATAAAACGCTTCATCCAGAGCACTATCAACTTTATCTACAAATATTTCCCACTATGTCGAAACGGGGAGGTATTTTTTAAGTGCTTGATAGCATAAATACATAAGGCTGACGTAAAAAATATTTACGACTCCTTAAAATAACAAAAGATTTACGGGTCAGGTGGATGATTTTGACGTAATTTCAGAATAATATATAGACTACAGTCCAGCACATGATAGCTAAGCTCCTCGTCATATTTATTATTTCTACTCTTTTCACCTATTTAATACAGTGAACGCCCTAATCCTACATTGAACAAGTGAGTAATACAAAAGCCCAGAGTCATTTTAGGTAGATTATGCACAAAGAAAACTGTCAGGTTAGTAAGGTTAAGCAAGACATGACTGTTTTCAGTAATATGATGATAACAATAATAACTGATAAATGAATGGAGCACGATTCTTCATTTAATAAAGAGACACGAAAATTTTGGACTGATGACAAGAGAACAGGCATGTAAGTTTTTCTGATGATGGTCCAGAAGAATTAAACGAACTATCAAAACTGTTTAATACTATTCAGCGGCTTTTTTTAAATATAATGAAAGATATAACCAATTGAGGCAAAAATGCACCTACAGTAAATTCGAAAATCTTAACACACATTATCTATTGACAGTCAGTAATTCACATGCCAAAGAAACCAAATATCTAAGCGTCCTGTTTGTATTCTGTCAAAGAAACCGATATTCAGCTACATCAGAGGAACACAGTAATCGACTCCTACACATAGTTTAAAGTTATAGTGAAAAAGTTGAAACACTGTTAACCAGTGACACCATGCTCTAGTGGAACCCGAATGCAAAATGACGATTTGGGCGTCCGAGGGTGTCATGGAGAAGATTGTGTGAGGTGAGAGCTCAAGGGAGATATAGTGGAGTCAACTAAAAAAGGCTGTAGAGAACAGAAGGAGATGAAGGTATGCTGCTAAATCTCTATGTTCCACTGAGAACCCGAGGGATTAATAATAATGTTTAAAAAAAAACTTGCTCTTTCATATTATTCTGGCACAACTAATTAAAAGTGTATTCACAACACTCGGAAAATAAATGCCTATTAATTATCAGGATAGACAAATTATTAACTGGTGCACTGACGGAGTTATTTACAACGTAACACATCATGCAATAATTTTCACAATACAACAAGGTTGTAATCTGTAGGTGAATAATTAGTGTCTGCAAGTGATTACTAAGGGAATAAAAGATACATATGACAAACAATTTAATGGAAACATCTGTTGTATGATCTGAAGACTAAAGGAAAGTCTGACATGGAACTTTATACGATTTACATTTGAGAATGGAATAAAATGCAAGAGAATATAGTCTTTCAAATCCTGATTCAATTGACCGTATACACAAGAAGAAAAAAGCATCCAGTGGGCGGAGTAGAAGATTTTAGCAATAAAAAAGTGCGTTGTAAAAACCACTATGAAAAAACACCTTCCCACAGACGTGTCTAACTTACTTGACTCTTCTTCTCCAGACCAGCAATAACACGATCAATAGCTTTATCAAAATGAATCAAATTGACATTGTTAGCATTCTCACGTGCAGCAATTAAAGCCGCTTCATTACATACGCTGGCAATATCTGCGCCAGAAAATCCAGGCGTACGTGCAGCCATTTTACGAGCTACAAGTTGTATATCATCGGCTAATTTAATTGGTTTCAAATGTACCTAAGTAAAAATTGATAAATACGGAAAAACACTTATTTCTGAAAACAAATACATGATACAGTACCGCACAGACGATACAGATATCAGAATAGATTCGCTAGGAACTTATGTGAACAAGTAAAGAGTACATGGAACGCAAGAGGTCCCAGAAAAAGTTTTTTTCGAATGCACTACTATTATCGTAAAGTAACACAGCAACATCATCTTGTGGTCTAATAAAAATATCCATGTACAAAAGGGGGAATCCACAAGGGACTATTTTAGAGTGTGGTTGAACAGTACAATCGCTAACTATAATGACAGTAAATCGATATAATAATATTTGTTATAAAGATGGATTATACATTTGATGAACTTATAGATATTCCAAGTGTTTCTTGTTTTTGAGTGACACTCGTAAAAAAACTCATGTACAGAAAAATATATCAGCTGGCAGGGAAAAATTTTTTTACTGCATTTAGTGATCATTGATGTCGGTTATTCTAGAAGTACCAACTACCTGTACGCACCTAGCACCTCACAAAGCTGGTTAGTTTTCGAGAAATTGACAGTGTTGGGGAGAGAATTATGGTGTAGAATAGAAAAGTCATTACTCTGGCTTAATGAGTTGACAAGAATAATCTCTGCTTACTCATAAATTAACTATCGTAAGAATGGATTTTACCAGAAACTATAGAATTTGCTGAGTAATGTAAAACGCTCAGTCATAGTAATATTAACAGGTGATTTTAACGTAGTTGGGAAAGTATATTAGGGAAATCTATAAAGTCTCAATTCGACAAACTTTTATTGTCCGGACAACTATATGTTTCTGCTCAACACTGAGGTTGAACAACTTAAAGTGAGACATTATCTTGCTTGGCAAACAAGTTAAATATAACCAGGAACACATATACGAGAAATGGCTACTTCTATGAGAAATGATAAGCTGCCATTACCACGTACGCAGCATTTACAGTTTTACTCAGTACTATTCAGTGAGTTATTTCGTAATTATCATAGTTTGATAAATTGATTCCTTTACATAAGGCTAATTAATGGCTGAAGTGGAGATAAAAGCAGAGTTTTGAAACGCCACGGATTCAAATTTAGCCATAATCTAGTTTATTTTTGATGCGAGATTAATGCCGATTAATGTTGCGACTTGAAGAAGCAAGATTTTCAAAAGCAGGATGAAATCATAGTCCATTTTTAGAGGAGAAAAACCATGAGAATATAAATCGATTACTAGAATTGCTAAGCGGTGATGGCACCACGTAACAAACACCACATTAATTCATAGTTCAATATGCAGTAGACGTACCTTAAATATTGATGCACGACCTTTAATATCAGGCAATGATACATAGATTTGACGATCAAAACGTCCAGGTCGTAAAAGAGCTGGATCTAAGATATCAATACGATTTGTTGCAGCCAGGACGACCACATTCTCTTGAGTAGTAAACCCTTTTACAAAAACAAAAAAACAGTAATAAAAATAAAACAGTAATAATAAACAGTATCTTTCTATACACTCATAGTAATAAATCAGCGAGAAGATTAACCAACATTGATGACCGATGTGGACGTATCCATAACATCATCATCTCAGTTGTAACAATTCATCATTAAAATGGTTTTAAAACACAAATATTGCAGGTATTAATTCAAAATTTAACCAAGGCGTTTATTTGCAAACAGATTCCTCAGAAACTCCCGTTTAATATAGACCACTATCGATACCGCTAGAAAACGAGGATTGCAAATGACAGGGAAGACCTTTTCCGACAATGAAAAAGGTGGTCAAGAATAGAATGTACTAATCATTAGCTCAGGTTATGAATCTATTTCAACCTAAATTAGCCGCAGAAGTGTATTTCATACATTCAGATTCACTAGTGTATGCACAGAATAATAAGGATAGAACAAAATAAGCTTATGTTTGTGTAAAATGCCTCTTATTTATACAAATACTTCGACGTCTTATGGTATACAAGTACGAATGCTTCAATATTCCTGCAAGCACTGGTTTTAGCTGGGGAGATCACCAAGAAAAGCTTTTTCATAGTGTTGAAAACATTGGACTGCGCAGAATAAAGCGTGAAGATGGCAGCAAAATAGCCTGACTTCCAAATAATCCTATAGTTACGATTAAACAGTTGTGAAAACCGTTCTGAAAGTATTGACAAGCAGTAACATTAATAATATACGATGTTACTGGTATTACCGTGTGGTTACGTACTTGAACATTTTATGATCAAGGTGGTAGTGGGGAGGGAAGACAACGAAATTAAAAGTAGGAAAAAAGCCATGAGATAAAAGAAACTTAAAACGTATCTAAAGCCACTGCAAACAATTTTGAATCACCTTAATTCATTGACTAGTGTGTCACGTTTTAAACTGCACACACCCTCCTCCTCCTCCCGGAAAAATATCATTTTGAACAATTTGTATCCAAGGTCAATGCTTACAACAGCTTCAGTTAGGGAAATAAATTATGATTACACACAGGTAATTATTGCCGACTATTTTGCAGTATTGTCAATTTGGAGTCGCATAGCTAATTACTAGTTGTTGTCATTTCAAAGGCAGAACTATGCAAAAAGTTGCATGACTATGTTGTCCAATATTTATCCAAACGTAAAGCAACTCCGAATGAAACAGAACATCACTAAAGTACTTTACACTTCCTTTTATGTAGTTTGATTTACAAAGAATTCCTAATCTTGCACATATTACACCTTATTCACTACATTTGTTTTTGCACAAAAATATTACATTTGACTGCTGGTGACTTTAATTTTCTGCTTAACCACTCAGTAAACACCTACAAATGAAATGTACCGAGCACGCTTATATTTAATACTTTAACACCAAATTATCTGAACTAATTCTCTCACAAATCACGTGTTAATGGAAACACTGAAATTACTATTCATCTAAAACAACTGGAATAAGCTAGACATCATATATTAAGCAGATTACAGAACCACAATTTCTAATCTAATCAAAACGCACGCATTCAAACCAGCAAGCAGCATGAATCAAAACACCCACTCATTTATAACATTGGTCAGTGATAATCTTCTAATCAGTCAACACTAATTACTGCACAAACAGTGAATCACTTCACACCATCTGCTCCATGAATTAGATAATAATTAAATTACCACTAAATTGTTAGTTCACATGTCACGATTTATCGAAGAACATAGGAGAGGAATAGATTAGGAAAAGCAATGTTTTGTTGTCAGTGAAATGCACTACAGACGACTAGTGCTGGGCCATGGCTCGAAAGAGTGAAGACTATGCAAATCAGTTCAGAATTCTAGACTGGAGGCTATAGACCAAACGCATCATACACTTATGAATATACTCATAGAAGACCATAACAACTTTAGCAAACTATTATACCTCTTTAAAATTAGTTACTAGGCAGGTACGTAGCTTTAATTTGTAATCGGCAGAAATGTGAAACGACAAAATAAACCAAGAAATGTCTTAAAGTAGTGACAGAAAAGTGTCTTCAGTCACAGCTAAGGACTTTTATCGGGTTTCATTGATAACTCGCCACATACATAAACACTCAGACCTAACCCGCATTGTGTGAACTGTGAGATAATAGACTCAGTGTCCAGATATTGCTTCGCCTCTACACGTTGAAATCGGCTTATAAATTAGTTCATCAGGAAGCCTTAATTAGGCGACACAGTTGTTTAGTACCTAGTATCTTTATGTGTTCATGAGAACGTGTTAGAACATAAAAATAATGAATCTTATTAAGCACTACATATGACAATGATAAGCCAATAATAATAACAATAATCATACCATCCATTTCCACAAGTAACTGATTCAGGGTATTCTCTCGTTCTTGGTGACCAAACGCTGTTCCAGAGCGCTTTCCACCAATAGCATCTATCTCATCAATAAACAGTATACAGGGAGCTTTGTCACGTGCAGACGCGAACATATCACGCACTCTTTTGGGTCCAACACCAACAAACATTTCGAGGAATTCACTTCCAGAGACAGACAAAAATGGAACGTTCGCCTCGCCTGCTGTTGCCTTAGCCAAAAGAGTCTTTCCCGTTCCAGGAGGGCCCTGAAACAATATAGCAAATATAGGTAAATAATTTAGAGAAAGATAATATTAGAAGAAAATCTACTAATTCCCTTTAGAGAGTATAATCATAAATACTGTTAACGAAAATTTATACACCAGTTAGTTATTAGTTTAAAAAAACTCAAAATTGCAGTCAGACAGTAAACAAACTGAGACAGAAAGAATGCATAGCACTGGAAACGCCTATTTGAAAAATACATCGAAAAATTGGCTGTTTAATCTTCCGTTTCAACGTGAACTTAAAAATTGATTTGATGATGGTCCGTTGTTTAAGCAAGGAGAACGCTTTCCACATGGATAGGAGAGAGCGGAGGCTTTGACCATTCATGAATTTAAGCCAGACCTTTATGGACAAAAGAAGTACGTACAATCCCCATTTCTACCTTGGCCGTAGAGCGATAGGTATTCATTTTTATCATTATTATTTTTTGTTTATTTAATTAATCTATGTACCCTTTCCTCATTACTACGATTATTACTATTCTTACTTAAAACTGTTTCCAATTGTCCCACTGTCATTCTAAATCAAAACCTTTTTGCAATGTTGAATTCTATTTTATCAAATTTCACGCCATGTAAGGTAACGCCTGATTTTTGCCTACTGACCCCATAATTATACACCCCCTTCCAACATCCATACTTCTTATGAATTATTCTGCATGTTACTTTAATTGTTCTGCTACTTGATCCTTGATATTTAATTATGATTATAATCACAAATATTTTAATTGCATTTTGTAGTATTATTATTATTTCACGTATTCACATCCTTGTTTAAATTTCCTCACGGGATATAATTTCCAATACAAAAATCTACATATATATACACGATTGTACAGTTCGATAATAAATTCGTTGAAAAGAGTCGCTTGACTGAATACTTTGTTCTTAGTGTTACTATGGGAATTATCAAATTATTGAGTGTCTTCAGTATTGGCGTTAATGATGTGAACGCATGGAGAGATAAACACAGTGGTTACGCTTTGTCAAAGCAGTAATCCGCAGAATTCAAAAACAGACAAATATCCTAACAGGGTCTTTTAGTACTTACTATTATCGTCAGACACATGAAAATAAAGCTAAAACTTACTTTCAGAATAGCGCCACGAGGAATCTTGGCTCCCAATGCCTCGTATTTTCCTGGATTTTTGAGGAAATTTACGAATTCAATAATCTCAAGTTTCGCCTCTTCACAACCCGCTACATCAGCAAAGCGTACACCAATTTTGTCTTTTTCTATTAAACGTACAGGGGTCTGCGAAAAATTGAATAACCCTGAACCAATTCCTGACTGAAAGATAATGTAAAAAGGAGAAACGATGACATCAACCATAGAGGTTAAAATTTAAAAGGGTTCAAAAATATAATCACCGAAGTGAATGTTTGAATTTATGTATGCTTTAACTCAGAAAAAATGCAATAGGTTGTAAACTATGCTTAATTTATCGAACAGTTAAGACTGAAATACCTAAACTAGTGAATTACATCCTACAGGCCTTAGCACTTGATACTTGAGAAATAGCATTGTTGAGAATACTTACCTTTCGTACAACACCACCAGATGTAGGTCGTAGAGAATACGCAGCCATTAGGAACAAAGAAACATAAAAGAGTCCGTACAAAACATCTGATCTACAAATAAGAACAACAGGTAGAGTAAAAAACATACAGTAAACTGCAGATACATAAAACAAAAAATTTGCTGCTCAATGTTGAATCCCAGAGGTTATTAATGATCGTGCGCTTCTTTTAGTTTCAGAGCCCACTGCAAAAAGTTTAAGTTTAGTGGAAATTTATTATTTTGGCAGTGGATCAAATCCATTTACGTCTACGTCTAGACATACATGTATCGGAGTAACATGATTATAGATACCCACGACCAAACGAACTGCCACTGTAAATATATAACACTTTAAAGCTTAGGCTTCACTGAAAAGGTGAACTACGTGCAGTAAATTTTTGTGCACCTGATAATTTTAAGTCCTGTAATGTACCTTATAGTTCTATGGTTAGTCTTAACTGTAAAAATTATTGTTACTACTACTGTCGTGGTAATGTGTGCCAACGGAATATTACTCTCACATACTCCCACAGTTCATGTTATATCTGTATCGGAATTAAAATGAGGACGTTGTCGCCTTGTTCTGTCTGCGCCTGACTAATATGCCTATCTGCTTCTGGTACCTTCCGATTCAGCGAACCACGCAAATATCAAAAGACAAAAGCTGGTCTGTGACTGTATATATTGTAGTACAACAACTACGACAAACTACGACGACAAATAAACTTATTTAGGAAATGGTATTTATACATTTTTACAACCAATACAGACAGTTAACAGTATTTGAAATAATTGGTCATAATAGTCAATAACAAAATGCGTGAGAAATGATGATATACCACATATGCGAGATTAACAGTCGTTAAGATAAATGAACAATAACAAAATGTGTGGGATCCTATCAGTTCACTACTGCATTAGCAACAGAATTCGATATATATATTTGAACATTCTATTTCATGTCGTTTAGTCTAAACCAAAATCATAAGCCCAGTGACTGGTTGGAGAATATAAAACGATATATATATATATATATATATATATACATATATATATATATATATGAACAGAGGTTTGATCAATGAAAATATACCTTGGCTTCTGTATCTTGCCTTCTATTATTACACTACTACTATTACTACTGCAGTTGGAAAGTCTACCCACCATAAAAATCAGAAGGAAGACCTTAATTAAAGGGTTTTTGACTTGCTCTTTGATTCTAGAGATAACAGGAAAGTAATAAGCACTAGACACAGAATACTTCTCGATTGGCTTTAAGTGGTCTGTGAACTATTCGATCTAATAGCATTATCAGGTACACAGATTACTGAATGTTCCTATTATGGTTTTCCTTTAGGAGTAAATTTATACTACGGACGATTTTTCCATGAAAAATTGACTAATCTTCTAAAAAATACGCTGATAAGTGACTGTAGCAGAGGATGACCTCAAAATATACCAAAAAGGGAACTATACTAAACAACAAATTATCAGTATACCACCTTAAGGGTGCAGGTCAAGAAAAATGACAACAGTGATCACCTGTTGCAACCAAACTAATGTAAATAAGTAAACAGGACATGACAAACTTCATTCTTACTAGTAGTGACCTACTCCAAGTCAATGGTGCACTACTGACTAAAGTCGTAGGTTATTAACCGCACTACAAAAAATTATTGGAAAAATTTCACAACTTCTGAAGCATTGTTCCCTTTATTTGTATGTAAAAAAACTTAGCGAAAACAGGGAGTTCACAAATAGAAGACATTTCAAACATTCACTCACTAATGAATAAGAAATATTAGCTAAACATTTGTTGAAATATGACGTTACTCACTGAGTAGGAGTCTGACAACATATTCAGTTTGATATTAAATGGTGCCAGAGACTGAAAATGACTCTTTAAAGAGGTTAGAAAATACATATTACCGGCTTCAATGGAATTGAATATGCACGAAGACATGTTGAAATAACACAAAGAGAGGAGAAAGCAGTTCACAGGTAAAGTAAAGGAAATTCACGAAGTGACAGATATGATCAACACCTAGTGATAAGGATACTTTATTAGATAGTTTTGATTGGTAAGAGTAAACACTTCTTCCGACTTATGACAGAGACGGATATAGAGAACAAGCGTTAATGAATCAGTAAGTAGGGGGGTCAAGTCAGAAATAAAGTGGGCTGATGGGTAAAACACGCTGCAGTTCAGTTGAAATCATTTATTCTTTATGCATTCACTCTCAAGTTAATACAATCTCCAAGAGGCGTACATAATAGGTTAGCATATGTTATATTGTTATTTTGCTAAAATGATTCAAGGGAAATCTAAAGGACATGCAAAGATAATCACTTAAATAGGATTAAGAAATGAGACAGACATTATACCCAAGATATGTAAATAATCAACATTTGAAAAAAATTACAAGGTTTTGTGAAATGATTATAAAAATTATTCAGGATGTCTTTATTTTTACCAACAAGTATGAGTACCAGTGACATCGGTTGGATAAAGAACCTAATTAGAGGGAACTAACATATTTGTGACCTTAAACATATAACATTGCAAGACCATGTCTCTTGTTGAAGGTCCTGTGAGTCTCCTCATTTGCACTCACGCGAAGACATGACGGGGGTTGAAGGGACTTTAGATATGTAAAATCCAGCTATGTGAATGTTTTAATGGGCTAAGGTGATTGTATATCAAATCGCTTTGCAAGTACCGCTTCAAACATCTTAAAAAGTCATGACCTTAGTTGCTACAGCAGAAGTACGATATATTTATCACCAGCATTCCCAACAATAAAGACTAACTTCACCCACAAACTTTCCCTTTAATTACTTATGTCAACTCTTTACTGCAATTAATCTTTCTATACTAAGGGTATAACAACCCATTTGTTGTTGAGTTCCCACTTTTCTGAATGAGCTCGGACTACTGATGTAAGTACTATAAGTACTACTACTACCATTTCAAAACAGGTAAGAAGTAGTAAGATTTTCAGAAGAGTAACTATAAGCTTTAGTGACTACCTTGATATGATTTTGAATGAAAATATGTACTTTAACTACTTTAATTGGATGAAATCAACTGATAGAGCAAAACTTGAATACCGTAGACACCTTCAATAAAAACAACACACAATCTTGGAAAATGAATGTTTAAGTTTGCAGATGGAGGTTTCCTTGATTTATTCGATATGAAAACTAAAAATTAAAAAAAAAATGTGAGAATTGAAACACCGCCTTGAGATACAACAAATTCTGTACTATGAACTCAGTCAGTATAGATTACAGAGTAGAAATTTGAAGGTGATGTGAATTTATTAGCAGGGGGAATAAAAAAGTGTAGAAACCAACCAGGATGACACTTGATTTCTAGAAGAGACTAAAACGATAACAGATGCATATGTGTTTCGCACTTGCATCAATTCATGTGGAATTTCCTCATTTTTTCTTATTCTATATAAACTGGACCGAAAATCAGTTAAACTTAGAGTTAAAAAGGAATAAAAAATGACAAAAATTCATACCGACTTATTAATAATCACAGGTTCTTGCAAAAACAGACAACAACGAAACATTCTGCGAAAGGTTAAGCGCCATACGTTGACGTAATTTAATAAAACGTGGAAAATAATGGTTATCATACCGTAGACACCACTCACAGTTTTAAGCGTGTGCTGTAAGTTATAAATGTTCTATGCAACGGATCCACTCCCATATGCGCTTCCATATCTCGTAGACTGCGTTCAAAAGAGTCAACTGAGCCTATTTCAAACCAGAAGATCTTCTTTCCAGGGTCACTAGATCCGTATGATTCGAAATTTGCACCCGGTTGAAGGTGGACTCTCACCCAAGATTTATTTACCACCTCCAGATGATGAACAGCGCCCCTAATACGAAGGATGACAACAATGAACAAAGTAACAGTATCTGCAAAAAATAATCATATTGTTTATAAACTGGATTAATTTAACATAAGTTGGTGTGTGACACGTCAGTGGAAGTTATTACACATGATACAGGGTTTTCGAGGACAAAGAAACAAATTAGTAAACTCCTGGTTATTAAACATTTTAAGAGTTTGCATTTCCTATCAAAAGTACAGTTCACTCACATAGCACGCCTACAGCACACAATACTAGTAAAATTCTATTTATTCAGCCGGTGAGCAACCTTATCCCCAACATCGGAATGTGATATTTAACTGTTTTCTACTGATGGCTGTTTTGATGTTAATTTGCGTACACAATTATTCTACATTAATTAAAGGACAAGACTTACTCCATACTACAAACCATAGAATTCTATGCATAAGACTTAAACCTGGACAGAATCCTTTATTCAAAATCAAGCAAGAAACTGCATGTACTTAGGAATGCATATGGTGCACGAATTGTAATCCCTGCTATCATTAATGTAGAATATAGCTGAACAGCTTACTAATTATGAAGACAATAATTTTAGTAGAACTTAGGATCATATTATACATTTTTAATTTTACAAAAAGCATATCACACATCTGTATTTACAGCATAAGTATTCTCATACTCGCGTCAAAAATCTAATTATATCCTGAACTGAGATCAATAGTCGGTTCATCGAATTAATATAACGAAATAGGGAATGTTGGAAATGTAAATTATGGAAATGTGTGTTTGAATACATCCTTAATTATAGATGCTACATTGACGTGGTGGTCAGGTTTGTGTATGCAATAAACCAACGATCTATGTTAGTTGAAATAAACGTTCCATCAGGCTCTACCATTGCAGAAAGGTTGAATAGGTTACACTGTTAGTTACTATCATAGAGCAAGTTACTTGCATTACATTGGAAACCTGATGGCGAGGTTGTAGTGCTGTTAAATAGGTGTATCAGTAGTGGATGTTTCTGTTGAGCGATCAGTAAACCAACTATACCGTCTTCCCAATCTAGCTCCCAAAAGTTACGCATCCTGATCTATACCAAGCAGTCTGTAGGTGAAAGTAGTCTCCAAATTGTACAACATATCAATAGCCAAAACGCTGGTATCAGAGGCCTCCAATGTAATGTTGTATCACCAAAACACCTCACACAAGACCTAAATGTCACTATTTACCTAACTTTGCCTGATGAATATGGCGTATCTACAAAATTCATTGCATAGATTCTCCTGGACTTGAATGTGTAGATATAGTGTCGAACTTAAAAGAGGTGCATACTGTATAGCAATTTGCCGAATTGTTTACAACTGAGACATCGGGTAGAGTAATTAGGGTTGTGTTTTAAAGGCCTACAGATACACTACAATTGCTCACCAACCAAATCCTCTTTGAATGAGGTGCAGACATCGGCCCACAAGCTGTTTTTGAGGTTGCAAAAGACATTACTAATCCAGAACTAGACAAGGAAGTATAATCTGACAGTTTAACTTCAGAAGTATTTAAGTGTGTTGGTGATGAACTACTGACTAGATTAACTGAGGGACTAGTATGTGCAACAGAATCTGGCAGGGTCATGTCAGTTTATAAAAAGGGCCAAAACTCCTCGTAATAATTACAAGATTACGTTTATCTGAAATTATACCCAAGATCTTAACTTTCAAAAAACTAAGAAGACTGCATTGTACATGACTGAAAACCAGACAGGTTTCAGACCTGGATGAAGGTGAGTTGGTCAGATTTTCACCTTTTAACACGTCTCAGGAGACAGGTAGCAGAAGCCATAATTTGAGCCTGCCGATCAACAGGTGTTGTGATAACTTTGAACCTATATGCATGTTCATACAGCCGTGTAAGAGATTTGTCTGTCGGAAATACCTAGTGCGACCATTCTTAATCAATTTCATTATACACAGTGATGGATGTAACTTGCCGACTAAGCTGCCTTAAGCACTGAAACAGTATCAGTGTCTCATTGATTTAGAGAAGATTTAATGATGTAGCCCTATATGGTGAAGAAGTCTATCAAATACTAAGTTGTTTGAATATTCTCATGATGGTGATACTACACAAAAAGTTTGGATGCAGTTATCCAGAACAGGTTTTTCCAGATAAAAGTCAACAAGCCACACTCATTTTGTGAGGGTGGATGATAGTGACTAGTTAGCCAGGTTGAAACAGAAAGAGAGAGGCTCTGACCCGAAACCCAGTGACTGAAAGTAAAATGATTCAGGTAATGAGCCTAGTATCTGCATGCTGCATGTACCTATTCCATTTGTACCTATTCCTAGTCTAAGAATACGGAGTTGAATGGATAAATCTGTTGACTACGTTGCTTATATAGGGTGTCGCATTAAGATTAATGGAGTGGTTGCTGGCGAAATCTCACCATCATTCTTCGTAGAAGTGCGGTACCTAAACACAGATACAATAACTATTTGAGCAAGATAATATGGCCTCTTTTTGTTTTGTCGGTTGTCGTCAACTACATAGCATCTAGAACAGTTTTGACATATATATCGAAGTTGTCGAATCAATTAGTTAGATAGCAAGCATTATTGCGCAAGTGGATACACATATTTCGGATGTCAGTAATATGCAAAATTAAGTTACAAGGACATGGTAAACATGGAAGAAGATGTACAGCCGTCATAATCGACTGTATATTAAATGTATGTACTGTACTCCCAATTCATTCCTATCTATTTCACAGTTATGAGACATGACTGCTCAAGGTAATATGAAAATAGTAGTGGATTTTGTTTAAATGTGCCTTCATCCAGAAGCATGCGCTAAGTGCAGCAAAATGTTAGATGTGTTTAGGTGTACTGCTAAGTAAAGAGAGAAGGAAAGTCAGTGAAGATAGCTGGAAAAAATGTTTCAAATAGCTAACCACTACTTTACTTTGAACTCAATGTTAGCTAATACAGAGTTACGTTGGAAAGTAAATAAGGTTAGTCAGATCAAAATATAACACCAATTTATGAGACCTTAAGCTGTACATTTTAGCTATGTAGGGGGCATTACGGTTAGGAAAGAGGTCCTCTGGACGCTAAGAACGATTAGTAAAAGACTGTTAGCGATATGACATGAGATATTTGGCGATGCTGCAGACGTGTCGCGTCTTTGCTGCCATTCCGATTCCAATAATCATTTGTAATGCCTATGTAGTCATACTCTGCCCTAGGTTCTTATCCGCTCTAGATTCACATTTTACTCCTCTACCTTCACATATGATTTTCCCGTGTGGGAACTTGAAGCGATGAACACAGTTTACGTCAATAGTTAAGGTAACATCTAAATATCAAGATTTGTAAGACATTTTAATAACTATATGACAGGATGAATATAAGCATGAGGCTCTCGAAAAGGTGAGCAAGCATCATTCGATGACAACTACAAAAAGTAGCAACAATGTTAAATAGCCTCACTTTTGTAATAAATTGTCGGTGAACTCCTTCCAATCAACTTTTTTGTACATTGACACGTTGTAATAAACAACCCAAGTTAAGCCAACAGCGCCCAGAAATACCCATGATGCGACAGGCCATCCACCAGGTGGATCAGGTACTTTCCGACTGAAGGAAAATCGCAGTTCAAATTTAGCTAAAATATTTTGAGTCTTTATCGATATAAACAGGAATATTACGATTATTGGACGTCTGGCCTTCTTTACTTTCCCCATTTCTAGATGTCTTTCCTGGTGGATTTTTCTCCTGAGCCCGAAGAAGAGGAGGAAATCGTAACCGGTAGTTATTTATCAGTTTACTTGATCGCCATGAGAGAGAGGACTTGATGTTCTAAAGACAAAACCAAAATAAACTATTAGAAAGCGAGAAAAAACTCTATAGAGATCACATATGTATGAACGACAACTGATAAACGTAACAATGTATTAGATAAGACTGATAACTTCTACTGGCATCTGCAACTAATTGGTGAGAAACAATAAACCTCCAGAAATAAACAAGTAAGGCGTTGTTAGAACGCGTATCCAGATATCAAACATCTGATTACATAAATCTCTATTTGATCAACAACGTAACCACCTAAATGAGGTACAGGTGAACTCGCCCTGTAGTCGAAATATGACTATTGCAGCAATATTCCAATTTAATATCTCTTCGATAGTAACAAACATATAGTTTATTTAAATGCATACATTCAAATGATGCACAATCTACTAAAAGGTAATTCTGAGATGAGCTTTAATTCTCACCTTTGAACTCCACCACAACTGGCTGAGCCTTATCATGAAACAGCAAGTGACCGCACGACCTTGACCAGTTAAATTGCGCTCCGAGATACTGAAGTGAACACTTTGAGTAAACAATCCCAACCGATTATGAGCGACAAGACGTCACATCGCATACGGCATAAATGTTGGCGTGACATTCCAGTGGTCAAGTATGAAACCGATTTCACTGTCTGTCTTCTATGAACCACAAGCAAACACATCAGACGGTCACAAAAGGTCCACTTTTCGAATCAAGACCTCCTGTAGCAGATCCAGTGAAGTCTCAGTTACCAAAAAGGGGACTGTTGTAGCTTTTTCTCATACCACTTGGACTGACCAGTATGATAGAGCGCTGCACACCGAAATCGAACAGAACGTGAAATATAAGTCAACTCCCCACCTCCAGTCTATTGATTTTGAATGGGCGTTCTAAAGCGTCAACCACGAAGTAAATAAGAAACTGTTTCATTTCTACGGAATGTGATGCCACAGACATTTATGAACCCACTTCTGTGGCTATATGATGATGCCACTTGTCAAGGGATTCATAGTGAGCAGCTCAGAGAAACCTTCGAAAGGAAGTCAGAAATAAGGCAAGAATGCCAACTATCACCGAGTAGCTACAGGATTATGGTGCACTGTATCAACCTGAAAAACTTGAAAAGTAGGGAAACATGCATATATTGAGCTGAGAATGAAGCTCTGGGAGATCTGGATTTCGCAGCTGATTGGTGTCACATATTTCACAAACTCGAAGATTTACCAGCGAAAAGCGAGAGGTTGGCAAATGACCAAGCGAGAGGACAGTCAAGATGAAGACATCTAACCAGCAGTGACAAAGACCAGCCATCATCAGTGGTAAACCTTCATTCAACCAAGCACCATTTAAGATGCTGACTCCAGTGGAGATCAGGTGAGGAAACAGAGAAAAGTGTGAATTAATTTGAGATAAATATAAGGACCTGTTGCAATCAACACGACAAGTAGGATCCGAACGTCCAATATTAATGTCAGGTCGGATTACTGTGAAGTCCGCATATTTGGCGCACGTCACTTAAAATCACTTCCAACAGACTTAAAACTGTCTTCGCCGACTAGATACTGAAGATCAAATGGCTGACTTGAGAGGATTTACTACAAAGATCTTTGTCACTCATGGAGCTCGTTAGTAACCAATTGCCCAACTGCTGTGTAGAATGGAGTGTAGATGGATTTGAAATACTCTAAAGATACATTCAAGATTTATAGGTCCCATTTCCTACAGTATAGATACACTTGAACGTGTTGTATTACTTATGGTAAATAATGTCCTTCTATTGAATATCTTTTAGGACCTGGGTATGACAATAAGTAAATCAAGAAATCATAGGCCATAATTTGGAAATCTGGGTTGCTTCGACTAAACAGTTGGAGGTTGTGTAGTTAACTAGCGAATAAAGGTGTCATTTCGCAGCCAAAGTAGTGTTTGGCAGGTTCATGTATACTCAATATTGAGTGCGGATTTCACCGTTAAGGTAGAGATGAATGGACATTGCAACAGATACTCATTAAGCCCGAGGAGATTTAGAGCAGCAGTGACCTGTATGAATTCTCATACAAAAGCAGCTATTCGCGTTGCTCCATAAACGCATATAAGCATCTGAATAACCCCTTGTGGTAAGGAGGTGGAGAAGATTCAATCGGGTTCGAACTTGTGATGATGTTGAGTTACAACGAATCAATGAATTCCCAGAAAAAGCGCGTAATCTAGTGCTATTCAAGCGAATAAAATTATCTAGCCTGTGACGCATGAACTGGTAGCACGGTTGGTAAAGTTAAAGAGAAAAAGTCTAGTAGAACGATGCTCCAATGACGTTGGGACGGTCAACAGGGCTGATGAAGAGAATTAGGCACTTAATCTATCTCTAGCATGACCCTCACTACAACCTTTCCTCATATCTTAAACTGACAATAAGTAGCACTAAATATCTTTACATTCTTTCGACACGTTTTCACCGGTATACAGTTTCTCTGGTTTCACTATGATTTACCCGGTCTCTGGGTTTGTCTGTGATATTTCATTGTTGCCAGGATCAAATTAGGGTAAAGAGAAAAAAGGTTGGGGTTAGGACAAATTGAGGTTTCAGAGTGGAGAATGTTAAGTAGACAGCTACAATTTATTATCTATGCGCAACTGGTCCTTTATAGTTAGTAGATGTGTTCACTAGACAGTCTATATGTTATTTACTTTCGCGCCATCCGTTTTAATGCAGAGTTTCAAATGTTCAGCTGTCAAGACTCACTAAATACCTCGTTTAATACACAGACTCAACTCGCATTGACTTCAAGAGCACTGCCGAATCTTTGCAGCAGACTCTGCGGACATTACATTATATATATAATTATTTTTTATTATTCCTTTGCGTTCCGAGTGGAAAATAGGTCTTCAACAACACAGCTTCACTTTGTTCTGTTCTCTACCGTCCTCTTCAGCTGGGTCCACGATTGACCAAACTCCTTCATGTCACTCTAAGATACCCCACTCGTTGCTTCCTATTTGGATTCCACTCGAGCACTGGCCTTGTGTGCGATGTCATTCGGTGGCCTCCTCAATGTATGCCTGATCCATCACTTTCTCCAGCATATTTGTTTAGCGATCGGCTCTCGGTTGGTTCATCGCCAGCCAGAGTTTCTTGTTACTTCTTCTTCCTGGCCATTTAATCTTCAGTATGTGCGTCAGTGGTACAGCGGTTATGACTCGCGCCGATTATGCACATGGTCTGGGGTTCAATCCCCTGCCAGCGCACACCTGATATCAATGGTCGGCCTGCAAAATTTGGGCTACTGATATCACATGCTGAAAATTCCATACCTGTACCAAAAATACGGGGTGGAATCAGGCTATAATTTAAAAAATAAAAATAAAATGAATAAATAAAAACGAAGACAGCTGCTGATGAAAGTCTGCAACAAGCTGTTTGAAATCCTTTTCGATGCACACATTCTAAGTTTCTGACCCGTATAGAATCACTAACTGACTTTACATTTGTGTTGAAATTGAGAATCTTGTTCCTTATGCTGAGTGCGGAAGATTTTCAAACTTGTTTCAGAAACCTGATAAGCAGCAGAAATCTGAGGATCATTTAATAAGGGTTAAGCAGATAAAACAGCATATGCAGAATCTAAAATAAAGCAGATGGATATGAAACCCCAACCTTCGTAACAATATCTGCATATCTATTAATAGACACGGCATCCGACATAATGATAATATCGAAGAGGTTATGGATAAAACTGGGATGCCCCTGCAAAACCGAACCAGATAGCAGTCAGTGAATGTGGTGAAAAAAAAGTTCCTCTGATTGGGCAATCAGACTGCAACGTCATGTTCCATTAGATCCTGTTTATCGGCACATGCTCTGTAAATTTTTAAAACGGATTTATTGGGTTTGCATTCGTTCGAGACCCTTCTGCTCTGGGAATTCCCCCTCAACAGTATAAGCGACAGAGGTGAAGCGACAGATTCTTTAAGTTCCCTTCAAGAATTCACGACATAGTCCCAGCCGGAATCAGGACGTAGCAAAACCTATGAAAACTGTCTAACGACTTAAGGTCATATCAGTTTTTCGATGAAAACGGCCCGTCCCCTAAGCCTCACACCAGCCAGAGGAAGCTGAGCTGGTAAGATTAAAAGAAGCAGGCGTCACATTTCCGGCACTTAAAAAGGCACCAGAGCCTCAAAAGTAAGCTCCTTCAAATTCATCTTCGGAGATAGCACCACTGCTGAAATTACCCAGAGCAAAGATACCTACAGTACCACCTTAAGTCACTTCTCCCAATGAATTTAAGCCAACAGCTAAAATTCCAGAGTAATCTTTAGTGGAACAGATGTCGTCACCACCTCCAAATCACCGAAATAGTGCTGCTGCTTATATCCAGAAAAGTGACCTTGTCTGGGCTCCAGACTATCGCCCAGGGAGAGCGAATGGATTAAAGTTATACGTGAAACAATAATTTATGAAGTGGAAATGAGATGTGGATGCACTACGGGACGTCATCAAAACCTGAGATATCCCTAGAACTCTTACTTGATACATTTAAACTACCTCCATTAAATACGAAGGTAAAAAGACCGGAATCACAAGACAAAAAACAATCTCAGCCCAGAAGGCAATCCATTCGCAAGAGATGCATGACAGTACGTTTCTAAGTTGACCCAAAGAAGAAGAGGTCTGAATTTTATTGTACACATTCATTTTCTTTTCTTTGACAGAGGAGGTGATATTTATAAATATGTGTTCATGCTTTTCTACATGTCTGGTTTTGTTTATGTCACTGCACTTAAGACCTTGCAATCATATCGTAATTGACGATTTTAATTTATCAACGTCGCTCATAGTTATTTAAAGCAGATATTTGCAACTGCTGTCAACTATTTTCGTTGTGGCTACGAGACAGTGAAAGCTCTCTACATCAACAGTCAATCTTCTCTTCTTGCATCGAGTTTTCAGTGTATCGTTTCGCGTTGTTGCTGATATTGGTTACAACAATAGGCTCACTAATGGACTAGCTACGAAATTCGTTAGAGCAACTACAAGTTTAATAACAGTCATATCAGTAGCCCTTTTATTTGTGAAATCCATTTTCAACCCCTAGTACTCATCAATTATCTGCAGATGGTTATTCATCACTTAACTAATTGGTGGTTGATCATTTTGATTATGTAAGTTATAATACCATAGTGGATCAACTGGCGTATAATGAAAGCAATAATTAAACAGATTTGCTCAGAATCTAGAAGGTGACCTGGAGTAGATACATTTTCAAAACTGTAAACAATTTCGAACTAAGTCATCAACCACTGAATCCATTCGGGAGATTCTATGCGGATTTAGTCACCAGTGATGTAACCAATAGGAACTCTTTTCCAACCAAGTTCCACTTCATCTAGCATTATTCTACAAGAAATTCGGTGACTCTGTATGCGCAACACTTGTCCTACCGAACTTAGTCGAGGAAGACTCAAAATTGTGTCAGTTCATTAACTTTACCATGCTACTACACCTGACACTAGAAACACAGTATGTGCAACTCAGCTATGATAGTAAATACGGTGATGGAACTTTTGAAAACGAAATTTATAAGCCAAAAACCTACAGGTAGGTGACTGTAAGTAAAAAGAGAATAAATATCCAATGAAGACAATTTATTCATCACACTTTGGCGAAGAACTTATACATGTAGAAAGACTTTTGGCAATCAAATTCAAAAAAAGAAATCAGATTGTACTAATCCAGTTGACTTTCATTTCTTTACAATTTGCACAACGTCATGGTGATGCAAAACGTGGTTTAATCCAACATGTTGTGGACTGAATTTTACACTTGTTCCCTTGAAGGTAAAAATGAATTAAGATTTAATTTTCAAGATAATTATATACAAAACTATTTTTAACAATAGCAGACAAAAAATCCTGTTAAATACAAAAAAAATGTATACTAGTGGAAAGGCATAATTACGCGACATTAGTGACTGGACTCAACGTCGTAGGAAGTCGAAAAAAACCCAGCCTCTGTAACACATTTATCAAGATATGTTTCGTCCGCAACAGCAATTTTCAGAATGCATTCTTCAGATCTATGAATGAATATATATAACCGAGGAAAATCTCATATATCAAACAAATATCAAACTAACCCAGCAATTTTGAACTGTTATAAAGAATACCTCTCATTTTATAACAAATTAGATCTATTTAGCTGAGAAGCCATACTTGGATTCAACTTTGATGAACCTGCATACCTGAGGTGACCAACCGCCCATTAATTAACAGTGAATGAAATCTATGGAATTGTTCAGGCTTTACGGCTATTGAATGTAGAAATAAACTTTTGAATCTATTGTTGGCTTCAATGAAGTATGATTTGCATAATTATCTCAGCAATTACACACTGATACGAACGAGAACAGCTGGTTATTAGTAAAAAAAAACAACTAAAAATGACACGGTCTTCCAATATCCTTTAGCGTGCGTACAGTTGGTAAAGCTATGCTTGAAGGGTCAGGCTTAAAATGCATGCAACAACAAAAGCATAATTCCATTGAGGATAAGATTTTATTTTGATAAATCACAGTGTTATACAGTAATATTAAATGATGACGCTTCGAGCACAAAATATTGCTCATAATCAAATCAAGTAAAAAGTTGTGAGTGACTTGATATGATTATGAGCAATAGTTTGCGCTCGAAACGTCATCAGTTAATATTACTGTACAACACTGTATGATTTTATCAAAATAAATTTTTTTCCATAATGGAGTTATACTCTACCACAGTGCCCAAGTTTTATACTTATATCAATAAAAACATAATTCGTTGAACTGGAAAAAAACTCTTCCATAGTACAGCAGTCATAGAAATCAACACTGAAAGAGCCTGTAATAATAAACTCAAATGATTATTTAGTCACTATTGACCGAATTACAGCAACATACACTGGGTAAGATGGCAGACAACTCACCTCCAAAACAACAGTGAATGCACTTGCGTCAACATTAAGGCTTCAACGGTATGATAATGGTTACTTTCCAGGTTACTAATCACAAGCAATACAGTGTCATTATTTAGCTTAAAGTACATTTATTGAACTGCTGATTCGTATTAGTTCTTCTCAATTTCACCTCTTTTTGTAAGGTAAGTCATTCTGTTGTTAAAAAGCAATAGGATGATTGTATTCTCGGTACAATGCAGCAAATAGACTGCAAAAACACCTTCAAATCTGATTAACTGAAGAAAAGCAGTTGAATAACTACACATCTTCAGCCAGCTTTTCTGTGACTAGATTGAGAATGAAGTCAATCGATCAATAGATGCTGCAGTAATTATGATAACTGCTTTGGCTTAGTAGTTATCAGTTTTTTTTTGAGGCCTTGTGTTATTTGGTTAAATTTTTCAAAAACAATTCAAACTGTATGATTAGAAAGCAGAATATCAGCATTCGTCGATTGCACTTACCCATACAAGAGCACACTTGCACTGAGATGCTAGAGACCGATGGATTGAATGACACTAAATGAGTATAACAAAAGAAAAGGTAATGATAACGGTAAAATTATTTTCTACAGAAAGACATGTAGTTTGGAGTTTTTACAAGCCAATGACGAGACAACTTTAAACTTAAGCATTGTAAGATTTAGTGAACAACACCCAAAAGCCATTCATTTAGATAAGAATGAAACATTGATATGTCTAATTCAATGTAATCGATCTCATGTCATGTTACAGTAAGATCATAACGAATAAATTCAGTAATTTGACAAATTCGACGCAGGAAGTTCGCAGTTTTCTACAACGTCTTCACAAATCCTATCTTTCTCATAACTATACTCCAAAATCTCGACCGATAGCTGCTACCTTGACGTGATGGTCGGGCTTGCATATTGCAATGACCCAACAAACTACACTGGCTGAAACTAATGTTCCTGGATGTTCTACCATACCAGGAAGATTGGTAGGATAGTGATTAAACTAAAAGCAGTTACCGGTATAGTGTAAGTCTTTTCTACACTACGCTGGGGGTCTGTGGGTGAAGTCATATTGCTAAGAAACTAGGATGTAACAGCAGTAAGGTGTTTCCCTCGGATGACCAGCATGCCAGCTGTGCTGTCTCTCCAATCTGGAGAGAGGGGTTTGGAAGATATCGACCCCCCAAAATTGTACATCCCAACTTACCCTACAATGGCCTGTAGGCGGCAGTAAGTTACTAATAAGGGAACGAATCAAAAAGTCAGTTCAGACAGGTCGTGTGTGACCGGCCCCAAGCAGTTTCTGCGGTCAAGCAACCCTAAGAATAAATCGACTTCCACGGTGTGGGCAGCCGGGAAGTAACAACTGCGCACACACTTCCAAAAGCACATGAAGTCATCCTGATCATCCTCCTCCTTCATCCCTGTCACCCTCATCATCTTGCCTCTTTTCTACTGTCGCCACTATTCTGTAGGCTAGTCAGTCATCTTCATTTCACTCTGTGACCACAAACAACGATGAGAGCGATAGAAACATCACCGACAGCCTCTTAAAACCAAGTCGCCAACTCCATATTGTAACGCTTAACGTCAGGATCCTCTGCCAAATCGGTCACCAGGCATCACTAACCAGAATTCTCGCAACTATAGCTATGGATGTATGTGGTGTTCCGGATACATGCACACAAGACCCGAGTGTGGTCATCCACTTAACCCCACCCGACAAACAAGGCGAATCTGCAAAATTCACTTTAAGAGTGTCAGGAAACTCCTCAGCTAGCTCACGGAGACTCGCAGAAGTAGGGATACTATTGACTGCTAGGGAATAAAAGTCACTTCTTGACTGGATCCCGGTAAATAACCGTATGTGTGCAGTCTGTCTGGACGGATGTGTTAGAAAAAGGAAGAACGGCTTTAACCGTCGTTCTCCTTATAGCCTCCGCTTACGCCCCAACAGACTGCAGTCCGGACGAATTAAAGTATGATTTCTACCAGAAACTGTCTAGTTTGCTGCGAAAAGCAAAACTTTCAGATATAGTCATTTTAGCAGCCGACCTTAATGCTCAAGTGGGGGAGTTATACTCGACTGAGAAGTATATAGGTGGTTTGCAATTAATAGTGTTCTCTGAGCTGGTTGGTTTAGTTGCGGAGCTTACGTCGTCCTTCTGGACAACATCTTCAGCGCAATATTTAGCATAAAGTGAAATGATTTAAATTTCTTCATGAGTGATATAATTGCGTCTCCTGGTAACCATCTTTACATATGCATTGACCATTTTCTATTGACTTGGATTTTAAACTTTCTGGTCACCTGATTTACTTTTTATTAGTTGGTATATTTCGTCTATATTAACGTGTTTGTTAATTCCTAGGGAATTCCTAGAAGCCTGGTACTCAGACGTAAATGCGGTCTTCTGAACACTTTGAGCAGCAATCTAAGGATGCTTGACACGCGATTTGCTCTCGCCAAATGTGAGATGATGCTACATCACTGGACTACATCGACTACTCCTAGCTAAAAGATAGGGAGTGAAGTGGTAGAGCGTGTTGACTATTTTACTCATTTGGGAAGTTGAATCAACCCCAACGAGTTGATAGGTGACGAAATCTCAGCACAGATACAGAAGGCACGTTCCGCATACGCTAGTTTACGCCGTCTCTGGCGTAGACATGATATCCGGCTATTGACCAAAGAGCGTGTGCACTGCTCAGCAGTCCGCCCCGTCCTCCTTTATGGATGTGAGACCTGGCCATTGAGAGTGGAACACATGAAAATCCTAGCTAACTGTCTTTGATCACAAGTGTCTGTGTTCTATCTCCCGTGTGAAGTGGCAATATTGAGGTTAAGCATCGGTCGAGTGCTAAGTAAGGAAGGGAAATCCATAGACGAGGCTGTGAAATTACATCGACTGAGATGGTTAGGACATGTGTTATGCATGCATGCCCAACCATCGATCGCCCTTCTCGACAATGGATGGATGACATAGGATGGATCTGGTTGGAAAAGAGCTAGTTGTGATCAAACCAAAACATGGCATCAGTCAATGAAATCCATAACAGCTAGTTTAAGCCACGTAGGAAGATGTAGACTTCCTGGTTGGGGTCCTCGGGACGGTAAACACCAATGGCTGGAGACAATTGGTGACATGGCTCAAAATCGTTCTTAACGGCTGGTGCAGATGCATCCACTTCTTGTGATTTATAATATCCAATGAAATTCCGTTGTTCTTCCATATTACTATTCTTTTTGCCTCATACTTCTGCTTATTATTTCGCTTTACTTTCTTCTCTTCCTTCGTGTGCTAAGTGAAGTGTGGCAACTCGAACCGCTGCACATTTGTGCAAAGTTGTATGTTGAAACCAGTTAGTCAGTCATACTCCGAAATTGTTAACTAATACAGTCAATTTTCTTTTACATACATTAGTGTTTTAATATTAATGTCATTCTGTTTCACAACCACGCTTGATGAGCCACGTCACAATTCAATAAACAATCAAATTAAAAAGTAAAGTATTCATATGAAAGTTGAAGAGAATAAACTTACAATATGCTCAACTGTTGCACCATTACGTAATATTATTCCTTCATTAAGATCAGGTTTTTCTACAAAAAGAAACGAATAAGGCGTAACTGCTCTAACCGCTTACTTACGTCCACGTTTCTTAGTGAATACTTGAATTAAATTTAGGTATTCCCAGAGTTTTTCTAACAAATAGTCCAGATTCAATTTTAAATTGCAGCTTTTGGAAACAAAAGAAAGAGAATAGATATCGATCAAGAGCGTGAATACTATGCAGTTTTATAAAGAACTAATTTAGTTAATACACCAAATATGAAGTGAACAGTCTATTTCGAGTTCACTTCAAAGGTGAAATTCATTTTAGACTGGAAGAGTAAAGTGAATGAAGTTACTGAAAAAATGTGTATTGTACAAAAGTATTGACTTCATACTAACGGTCTTTACAGTTAATAACGAAATTGCTCGTAAATCAAATATAACCTTGAATCTAGTGCAAAGTAAAACAAAAGTAACGGAGCTATTTAATGTACCAAATAATTTGATGAGATGCATAATGATCACTATTGTAATGGACCAAGTTATTAGGAGCTCTGTAAAGAGAGAGAGCCGCTGTTTAAGGGAGAATGAAAGCATAATTTAAGGAAAATCGATGATAATTGCTGTGTGTTTTGCTGGAAATATTATGAAGGGTTGACAAGATGATGGAAATAGACAGTTATAGTCTCAAAGTGGAGAAACTCAAAATCTATCACAACACATTGGCAGTTATTTTCCTTCAGTTGTTAGCAGTTAATTTGTACTCTTCATTATTTTGTATTGTGCGTCGTTGGCACAGCGGTTAGGACGTTCACCGACCTCGCATTTGGTCCTGGGTTTGATCCCCGACCGATGTACTCCTTTACCTCGCTAAGCCAGTAGTAAGACTGGTCAAGAGGGAAGGTTGGGCATGAGGCTAGCAACCCCATCCCGTGAAAATAAACACTGATACAGAAACTTCAAGTCTCTAGCCTGAAGCACTATTTTCCACTGGGAACGTGAAGGAATGAAAAAAATTATTTTGCATACAGTATCATCAAAAAGTCTATTCATATTGTCACCCTTATTATGAACTTTCCGCTATCTGAAGCTCTTATCTGCAAGTGGAAGGATTTTTCTACTAAAATTTTAACATTACAGTCGTTTTGATCAGCATTTTATAACTTAGAGTTGTATATTACAGAACAGATTATATAAACCACAGTTCAAACTAACGGTCAAAGACTTTATGGACTGATGCCAAGTTTTGGTTTGACCATCCTAACTCTTTTCCGACCTAATTCTATGTCAGCTAATAATGCTCAACAACGAACGCGATCAAATGCTCTAACCAACTCAACAGATGCAGCTCCACAAACTTATCGATTAATGTTCTATCCTTATGTAACACTCTACACCTAATCTCGACATTATTGAGCATACTATGCACTTAATACGAGTAGTAGATCACAAACACATAAGATCATACACAACTAGCTTCTTCAAAATCCCCCACCCTAAGTGGTGACGTCTCATAGCCATAAAGAAGGATGCAGAGAAATGCTGAGCAGTGCATAGTCCTTTAGTCAACAGCCGTATATCCCATCCACGCTGGGGATGACGTAAGTTGGCTGATGTCACAACGACCTTTTATATCTATGATGATAGTTCATTAGCAACCCGTTCAACATAAAAATGGAATGGTAAACACGCTTAACCATTTAACTCCTTACAATTGCAAACATTTCAAATGTTTGTTGAAAATACCTCGAAAAATACCTCCAAGGTGTATCACTACATATTAACACAAAAATAACTTTCAGTAATTAAGCACTATTGAAGTTTTATCCTTCTTATGCTGACTTACATAGGAGTGTTAATTACTGTCTGTTGTCACATTCCACTATATCGATAGTTATGAAATCCAGGATGCGTTTAGCACTGACCTCGAGCAGGTCAACTGGAACCCAGTAAAACTCAAACCAAATCGTTATACAAAATTAGCAGACAAAACTAGTAATTAAATTCCACTTAACATCACTATCGAATAAAATTTAAATTCCACTGCAGAGCATGGAGTTTTTGTATGATTCAAGATACTTTTTACTAACTGGTATGAAAATATATTCAAATCAGCCTTGCACTTAGATGGCATAGAAATATACACAAACATTGCATCATTTAGATTTTTATTAATAGCCCTTCATTCAGCAGGATCAATGATGCACAAACCCTCAACTCAACTACTCCTATGACTTAAGTTTTCGTTCCACTTATAACAACAAATAATAAGAGAAGGATTTTCCATCGGAAATTCAACAGCATACGCACATATTTAACTTCCAAATAGGTACTTATGGTAATAATGATTCTAACAATGACTGTCATTTCAATAAAAGAATTTGTAAGATAAAAATCACATTACTAATGAAATGACCTAATATATGTGAATTATAAAAATCACTCCTCAAACACAACACACTACCAGTAAGTATGCACCGAAATGCTGATATGCTATCGGAAATGCCACCGTAACTATCGACAAATAAAACAAAAACAGAGCGAGGAGAGCTGATGACACTACCCTAATCTAAATTCTGACCCAGATGATGGTTGGAAATCAACCTTTACGACAAACAAACTGATTAAAGTGATTCACGTTTTCGTCAAACACAATATACATATAAAATGGTAGAAATCAGTCAGAAAATAATCGAACTAACCTGACAACGACAGAATCCGGTTGTCTTGCTAACCTGTCGACTTCTTGTAGTGATATCTGATCAATTTTGTTATATACCTGTATTTATTTTAAGGATAATGATTATGATGCATGGAATTACATAAAGGCAGCCCAGATACACCCGATTGCCAACAACCACATCGATAAATTCATCTGAAGTAACGTCTTCACGAAAAATAACTTCTGCATTAAATATTTCTAAATTACAAAACAATAACAAAGGGTTAAGGTACATGGCACATAATAAATGATTATGAGAAGAACAAAAAATGCCCACGTTTACCAATATTGAACATATATCTATGTTATTCTCAGATGAATGAGATACAGAAACTCTCCCTGAACAAACCATAAACACAAAAATACACGGGAACTACAGACTACCAGTAACTTGTTTTTAAAATTCAATCCGACCAACTTGTAAATATCATATAAAAATAGAATATTCAATAGCCATAGTAGACAATACCGATACTTAGTCTGGTCGATATTACAATATTTTAAAGTTAGTCGTCTTCACGACACCTTTTGCCTGCTTCTCTTGTAACTGCTTACCAATTTGAGGTAGCCAACTTAAAATACAGAGGAAATTGGACTATAAGTGCAAGAGTTTGTGGTATCATAAGCCAACTTCTGGAAGAAGTTGACTGGATAGAAGTAGTGCTTAGAAATCTGAATGACAACTTTCTACCTTTGCGGGAACAATCTAGGTTATTTCATGCTAAGCCTTGAACCTGTGTTGTTTTGAAGTTATCAGGCATAACATAAATAAGATACACGTTTTATTGGCAATAATTCAGCTATTTTTTCAGGGTTGACATCTTGTCTTCTGATACAGAAGTGGAACTGCCGAAATAAACCGATGAAAACCAACCAGTCCCATTCTGATATTTTTCAATAGGACAAATCACCGTCCAGTTTGAAATGAACGGAACTATATGTCTTGAGGCTCCACATGGATAAGGCTTCATATTCTATGCTATATTTTAGAAAGTCAACATATTCAAACCCAATCATCGATTAAATTACTATTGGAGAACATTAATAGGATTTGGTCAAGTTTTCGCTAACTGTCAGTATTGGTTCAGTCTGTATCAGGTTGTTGAGCATTCAGCTAACTAGCAGAAAAGGCACACGATGGTACTGAGCCTGTGTGGCACTCAGGTTTGATAAGCAAAGAGGCTTTACAAATGCATCAGTCAAAAATCGGTTATATTAACAAAAAAACGTTGTTTGCAGAGCACAGCCAGTGAATGTTCAGTTTAAGTTCAATCACAATAAACTAAGGCAAGTTATATAACACCAATTATAGTAAAGGAAAAAAATGTAACAAAGCATAAAAGAGAATACTGTATTCTTGTAATATCATCTGCGTCATTCTTTCGCTCATCTTGGTAAGTGGAACCATAGAAGTAATTTTCAATCCACCAGTTTTCTTTTGCTACACATTGATACAAAAAGAAAACACAAAATTAGCAAGATACAGAGGTCATAGGAGTTGCATAGGTCTCCTTAACAATGGAGATAAAAAAAATTAAAGGGGATGATAACACAAATGCCATGTGATGTCATAACATTTATCAGTATCCCCAATGCTTACTGGGATCGTTACAATGAACTCAAATCGAACTAATAGGCACATCGTAAAAACACAAGCCTGGGAAAGTTCTCACTAAACGACACAATACTACACAATCATGCGAGGTTAATGTCAACACCATTGACTCAATGATTAACCATCAACAAAATGAGCATCTCAATGAGCGTGGAATGAAATAAGTTAGGTTTGTAAATGAAAGCTTATATAGTCTTGATAAAGACAAACTAGTTTTACTACATCAAAATATAAGTATAAAGCTCAAGATAGTATTATTGACCAACAATTACGCAAACTCTGTAAATGCCAAGTGAGTAGTTTAGACTAAGATGTTGGCAGCTGTCTCTATTTCTGTTCTAAACCTCAACGACCAAGTTACAGAAATAAATTTTATTCCAGCTGAAAACTATTATAAATCAAGCTAAGGAACGAACCAGCATCGCTCACTTATGCATATATTTGAAGGTTTTACTGAACGACGGAATACTTAGCAGATTTTAATTAACTTCTAGTTTGAAATAGCTACAAAAACTAGACTACTGGAAGGATAATAAATACACGCATGTTTTCGTGCCATACTTGCAATTGCAATCGGACAAGTAAACTCGCAACCTATAAATCCATGAGGTTTACAGATAAGTTGAGACTTTGCAGCTGTAACTTAAAAGATGACTCAAGATAAACGCCAACATTACCAACAGTTATTTTCAAAGATAACATATAGAGGTATAACATAAGCATTAACGAAGTCGTTTACCTTGAAATAAATATTTGGTTTGCGTTTGTTTAAACGAATGCCAACAGCCTCCAATTCGTTTTCAAGAAGTTTTCTACAGTTTGATTTTTTAAAAATCATTCCATCAAATATGAGGATTAATATATGCAAATTTTTACGGAAATATCTGGGAGTTAGGAATCACAACTTTGATAGCAAAATTATAAGTGAAAAATACTACCGTCCCACTAATCAGTAGAGACATATCACCGACATATAACCTTAAAATAATGGTTAACAGTAGATATCAGTAGGCTTAACGTGCATACATTCATATAGAAATGGAAATATTAAAAAACACCGTGAAAGGCTCAGTGACAAGCCAGAAGTAATTGCCTCCGCAGAGTCACAAGTGATTTTGAACCATGCTTTTCAAATTCTTCAATAATCACATGTAAAAGTTATATCTGAAATAAACAGTTTTAATGTTTTGTCCTGCCAGTTGTTTCGAACTCCTTCAGAGTTCAGTTTCTGTATTCTGACAGACGTAATCCTGGTTTCAAACAATAGTTTGGTGGTTTCCATCTGGTCACCTTCCAATCTTTAGTCTACTTCAACTTACACTTTTCGGGATAAATAGTTTCTCGGTATTTGAATATACATGTCCCAGTCTCCCAATGGATGATACAAAAACTTATGAACTAGTTTATTTCAGTCTTAACCTTCATATTCCTACTTAAATACAGACAATGATACGAAGATGAAAAAGCGAAGAACAAGAGGTTAGATGAGGGCACAGAGACCTCAATAAATAAGTCTGTGAAGACTCATTCATTCCACTCTCTATCTTTAAAGTACCAATTGACACAAACTTACCATTTAGTATCATTTATGAATCACATAGGTGTGAATCATGCACATGTTCATACAAAACTATATTTTGTGGACATCATCAATGGGCTCTAAATCAGTGAAAATTTCCCTTGGTAACAAGTCCACACCTGAGACATAATAGTCAACAAGTCACATGCACTAGTGTGTGATGAAACTGATTAAGAATAATTACGCCGGGTATTCATGGCTAATACCACTGGTTGTTGTTACTTCAAAAGAAGAATCTCCAGATGCTTTGACTCCGCCTAGCGAGTCCTTACAGAAGTCCGAAATATTCTTTCCCAACCCATTTCTCCATATACGAAAGCCACTTCAACACTTATTGGTTGGCGAAGTCGAATCGCGCCTTTAGGTCAACAAATACGGAGAAGTTAACACAGGCACGCACACGGATATTCCAAAATATGTCGAAGGATGAAGATTTTATCAAGCCGCCCTCATGCAGGTTTAAAACTTGCCTGTTAATGGGTAAAACTTGGGCACTGTGGGAGTACGCGATTCCATGTAAATGTGTTTAATTGACAAATCACAGTGAGACAGTATTATTTACGGGATGATGTTTCGAATACAATTTGTTTATTTCTTTACTTCGGCTATATCCTACGAGAGGATGAGCCGGCTTCATGAACATCTCGAATCATCGCTGCCCAGGCGCGGCGATCTGATGCAAGGTTTTGCGACAGGGTTGTCCAATTCTTGTTCTACAGACGGAGTCCGTAGACGGTTTGTAGCCCCAGGCACTCCATATCAGCCTTGACTGTACCTCGTTTGTAAGAGGGTTCATGAAGTTTCATGGGAATTTGGTACGAGTGATGTCCCCAGAATCGCTCGGCCTTTTGTTTGAGAGTGCAGCTCTAGCCTTTACACAACCAAATGTGACCTACAAGGCAGTAGGAGTGGAGTAGGGAGTCCACTATCCATTGGCAGCCGGTGACCGGAGTTCGGTTCATACGCCTTTTTGAATGGAGCCAGACATCCAGGACATCCAACAAGCCCTTTGTCCACACGTCTGCCGATGAGCTCCAGTGAGCTTCATACGCCAGTCGTTGGAGGTTTGGAATCAGGGTTTAGCCATCTCCCCTAGACTGTCATCCAATGGACAGTCAACCCGGTGAAGAGCGCCGGGCATCCGCTTTCGCCCTCTCACTTTGGTGAAAAACACCTCCGCCACGTGAAGGCAGTGAGTAGGACTTCTTCAGGAGAGGCTATGTAAGACGCCCGGTCATATGGGAGCATTTCAAGAGGTGTGCGGAGGGGTGGCCAACCCGCAGCGCAAGGCACCCACCCCCGACCATCCTGAGGCTTATAATCATATCAGTTATAACTACAAAAACTCGAAGCCTTCGTTTTATGATTACAGGGAGATTTATCCCCCATATAAACTGGAATGGTCAAAGATTTACACCAGCCTGATGAAATTATGTCGGATCCCAATACTCTTAATAGTACCCAATTCATCACCACCTCTTTTAAACTCCATGAAATTCTACTGTGTTGATTAGACTTAGACTGAACATATCTTTTGCGACCCTACGTAAAGAGGGAGGGCCGATATCTACACCCCATGTGGGCAGGAATTGGATGGTGGGCGATCGTAGTACAGCTATACGTCAACTAAACTGCTTAAGATTTCCAGCTCAACGTTCCAACTATCCCTCTTGAGAAGTTATTAAAGCTCCACACTTCTCCCATATACTTTCACTCACCTCATATCCCCTAATAGTTGACGAGTATTACTTAGTGTTGATACCTTTTCGGTTTCTTACGCTTCAATTACCATTACTGTTGGCAATGGTAGCAAAGAATGTCGGTCACCGTACGTTTGATCATTTTCACCCGTTATCACATTTGGTTTTATCTGCCTCTGCGTTTATCATTTCGATGAATGCGCAGATTACTAGAGTTTAATAACCACTAGTTGCAGGTTATCAAGTCTCTACCACTGCTTCCACAGAGGACTGGATGTGACACTAGCCTTACCGAGGATGAGTATCGCTATCATTTTCAGATACGCATCTAGTTATTTCTTCCCTAAATACAGATTTCATATTTAAATAGAAATTTCGGGTACTTCGCAATTTCGAAAATGCTTATCTTCTACAAAAGCTTAGTCGAAGCCATACAAATGCACGGAAGAATGTACATTCTGATGTCTCTCTTAATATCTTAAGTTATTGACTGCTAGGAGTGCATAGCCAACAGAACGATACTGTAAGAGAAGCTCACCGTTGTTGGTAAGTCAATATGGGACTCCACAGATGCCTCAGATACATTCTTCGGAACGGCTTAGCTCATTGACTGAAGAATTAAAAGCACCTGCTAAGATGGCTATATCTGAGTGTTTTGCTTTTTACAGCAAACTAGAGAGCTACCGATGACAGTTATCTTTTAATTTACCCTAATGAAGAAACTATTGGCACCTATGAGTACAACGATTCTTTCTTAGTCTTACGAATCCACTCAGATGGGTAGCATACAAACGACTGTTCATTGTGATCCACCTGGGTGATGACTTCGGCGCTACAGAACTAGACATCATACTTATACTAACACCTGAGTTGAGTAAATAAGTGCACTTAGGACCTGTATGTGCGTCTTGTGGATACCACGTTCATCCAAAGCCCGAGATCTTAGACATTTTACTAGTAAGATCTGTTATTCGACTGGACATAAGGTTCGGACACTGGAAGCTCTAGTACAAAGTTGGCAGTGTGATTTTAAGAGACTGGAAATAATGTTTTTCTGACCTAAATTGTCATCTGTAGTCACAGGGTTAGCTGAAGAAAATGGCTGCGGGATAGTACAAGCAGCAGGGGAAGAGGTAGACGAATACGGTAGGTGATGAACAGAACCATTTCGTCGGTTTGTAGAAGTGTGTGAGTAATTGTTAACTACCCCAATGTCTACACCATGAAAGCTGATTTATTCTTGGATGACATGGAAAGAGTTAAATTTATGTGGCTGAAAAGCCCAAAGGATAACTGCTTGAAGCCAGTTCGATACGACCTGTTTAGAGGTAAAAATTCCATTTCCTCAGAAAACATTGCTACCAACTTCGAATCACTGCAGTGTAAGTGGGGATAAATTCTTTGGAGCTGATCTTTTCCGATCCATCTTTTCCAAAGCTGAAAGACAGCATAGCTTGTTTGCTGGTTGTCAGATTTTGAAGCTTATTACTAGTCAAACAATAATTCCGTAGGCAGGCAATCTACTCAATTAACCCGGGATTAGTGCGAAAGTGAAAAATGTAAAGATGACGTGAAATAAGTGAATACGCAATATCGTGACTGAGTTCAGACTGCCAGCTATTTAATCTAGCCAGCATATTGCCAACTAGTTGAACGTCATAGTTCTTAGGTCCCCAACAAAGTATTCTGTATCTCCTGATCTAATGACAACATGGAACACCAACACCATGTGAACGAACAGAAAACTTACATTCCTGTCAGAGGCTTTGAACGTATGTCCGTGTAATTATCTAAGATAAGTAGAAGCTTTTATTCACTCCTCTTCATGCTGAGACATTTAGGGGATTGTCATCCGACAATCAAATAAAAGTCCGAAATCTTTACGAAAGCACCCTTAGTCCCTGAAATGTTCTATAAAGATGAGGCCATGTAGTTGTTAGGCCAATAAAAGGAGATTATCCGTTTTTCTGCATTATCACTGTATAATTATTTCGTAAGATATCCAACATTTCGAAGGCATCAGGAACACTTGTTGTAAACGTTCACATGCACATACGTGTAAGGACATAAATAAACACCATTTGTAACATGATAAAAAACTATTTAAAAAGCTTGCTGATGATTGAAAAAAGAAGTGGGCAAAAATGTATCGTAATAGTTCCTACCTATGTACATCTGGTTTTGTGGCATCCAGCATCATAATGACAAGATCAGCTGTTCGGGCAACAGCAATAACCTGACGTCCACGCCCCTTTCCTATGAACGGAGTAATAGAAAAGAACTAGCAGAACATATGCAGCAAAATGCAAAACAAATATTATGAACCCAATCAACAAATAATTTGCAGTTACGTTTCTCTCAACGCAAGGTCTTTGATTCCATATTACCACTAACTCTTATTATGAGTACTGAGCATTACACGAGTAAAGTTTCTATTGTTATTATTATTATTACTATCATTTTTTTTTGAAACAGTATGCAGTGCCGACAAGAAGTGCACCACGATAATTAAGACGATGTCGTGAAAAATTAAAGAAATGGAGGAATAGCTGAGTAGGAATTTCTGTAAAGTACACTCCAACGAGAGTCCTTAACTCCGCATTAAGATTGAGAAATTTAAAAAACGCAAAAACTGAGGCATGGTTACAGTAATTTTGATCTGTGACATGGTTCTGAGCAAATACCTAGAGAATCATGGTAAAGGAAAGTGTGCAACTCTCCGGAACATCAACTATATGCCTAAGTGGACGAAGCCAGTGTTTTAATTTTACAACACTTCTTGAAAATCGATCTCCACTCTATGCGAGCGCCTGCTATCATACCTTGGAGTTACTTACATGGTCACTAGACGCTGCCAATTGCACTGACATATGTAACAGAATACCCAGAGTTGACAGATGCTGAGCTCGAAGAGATATGGTCTCACAGAAATTTGAACTTCAGGAAGTTGTACAGTCAGCAGTTGACGTGGTGGCGGCAGCAGATGTAGGCCAAAGTAACTTAAGCTATTCCACTTTGGACATCGCAATAAAGTTCTATCCATCACATCTCTACGAACAATTTGAACGATCTATGTGAGGAGGGAAGAACTCATAAACCAAGGAACTAGTTCAACAATGCAAAGCACTCCTTGAACTTATACACATTCAGAACTAAGTCGTGACTGAAATAGCACGTGGGAGTAAAATAATATCGCTACATCTTTGGAAAAAAATGTGTACATCACCACCCGTTTTCTTCACAGTTCTATTAAGCAAACCACCAACACAGAAATATTAGGCGGTTTCGTAAACTTACAATATAGCAATTCAAGTTAATGACCATCAAATTAGTCTTAAGGGAACCCATCTGATGACTTCATTATTACACGATGAAGACAAAGTATCTGAATGTTCATGAAATTCGTACAGATTTGTCATGAGACTATGGGATATATATATATATATATGTATATATATATATATATATATATATACGTGGTTCGAGTCCCACTCTATTTATTTCAGCCTTACCAACTGGACAGCATCACCAGCTCTCACACAACAAATGTGACTTTTAGTCTGGCAAATGGAAAGTCTGTTCCAAGTAAGTGAGCTTAAATTACATACCTAGGTCCAACAGCAGTCCAGAACTATTTACAGTCATGCATCCATGTAAGAAATCGCTACAACAAAAATTTGGTTGGTTGGCATTTGGTTTTAGGAGACAATTTGTAAAAATGGAATTTATACAAAAAAGAAAGCCCAATATGTTACGATGGTCATCGTGCGCATTTCAGAGACTTTGCGACAGACTGCAGATAACTGTCCCACTTTATTCAGTGCACCCGAAGAAAATGATAGCTGTGGGGTTATGGGAAGAACGACTACAGTCACAAATAAAGACAATCTTTCTATTGTTTATAACTCTTAAGTGGTGAAAAAACACATTTTTTCTCGGAGCGGAGTTTAATTTATAGAAGCATGGCAGAGTTACAAGTTTGCTGATATAGGGTGCTATATTTTAGATATGCTCTTATGCATCTGTTAACCTTGGCTTGACAAACAACTATTAACACAGAGTATTTGATAGAAAAGAAATCATTAGAATGAATGATAATTGAGTCATATATTCAGACAAAAAAGAAACCAACCTTGTGCCGCTCCTTCGATTATTCCAGGTAAATCCAATAACTGTATGTTAGCACCTTTGTACTATTAATGGATAGCGTGAAATCCAAATATACAAATACCTCAATGACACCAGGTATACATGTTAGCGTAGTGAATTCGTAAGATGCACATTCACTGTGAGTAGACGTCAAAGAATTTAGCAATGTAGACTAAAACGGTGACATCTAAGTGGTAAAGAAGGAGAAATAACCAGACCTTCCCGACAGATGGGAATCCGATAAGAGCAACTCGTGCATCTCCTGATTTCATAACATCAAAACCTTCACCCTAAGGAAATAAAATTTACTTACAAACACACCTTTGTGGCCTTATTTTGGGTTTCCAAAAGCTGAGACCGATACTTAGCAAGTTTAGCTTTGAGTAGACCCAGATGGTACTCAGTCGCTATAAATTTCGTCATTATCAATAAATACAAAAACCTTTATTTTTCTGTGTCCTGGCAATCTCATTCTCGATATCAGCAATCTTATCTAGAATGCCCATTGGCCTTCACAAGCATGTACAGCGCCACAGCTGACCTAGAATATGCTAAATAATCAGCAGTCCAATATCCAATATCGTTTTTACGAGCTAGTATAAACTATTTTGATTTCTTTGTTTTCGATTCTTGATTGTGAATCAGAGTTTGCTGGTGTTCGGTAGACTTCTGCGTAGTTCGTCCCGCGACTCAACTGACATAGCTGCGGTTGGCTCCAACAGGAGTGGTGCTGAGATTAATTATATGTTGTCTGTAGTGTGCGGTGTGTTAAGAATTTGTTGCTACTGTGAATGGAGCTGATCATTTCACCAGTTACTTCTGCGGTATCATCGTCAAAAGAAAAGTGATAATTATAATAACAGAAATAATTAGTGTTGGTTATTCAAACTTAAGGAAAGAAAAAGAAATAAAGAAAACGTAAAAACAGAGCTAATTAAATTTGAAGTTGATACACATTTATAATATCATTGATAATAATAAGTGCAGTAGTTACAGTTCTCAGGAGAGTTAGACTGGAGAGAATGTAAAGAGGTGGAACGACGAATTTAATTGTGCACCGCTACCGTGCAAACTTTGGAAAGGGAGTGAATATTACACACTCTTGTTAAGTTTTGGCTTTTGTTGTGTTATACTCTCCAAAAGTCTGTAGACCAACTTTAAATCAGTTTATTCTGACGAAGTTAGTTTACGTTTTAGTTTTTGAGTCTATTACATTAAAGGAAGTTGTGTTCTTATAAATGAATAGTTATATATATCTATTTTTGTGCACTCATCGGCTCTTTATTCACTGATTTATAAAGGTAACATATATATATAAAGTGATATTTAAATCGTTTTCCCCAATTAACTCTAAACAGCATGCTGATCGAAAGGAACCACTGCGGAAGGGTTATGTGCCAATTCCCAGTGGATGAGGGAATGCAGTGTGATAACTGCAAGAGATGGTTCCACAGCATGTGCACAAACCTAACTCCTGCAGCATACAAACGCTGCTGCAAACCTCTGGCAAACTGGTGTTGCAGTGACTGCTGTAGTACGACTAAACTTCGCATAACAGAAGCCATTGCCACTCTCAGTGGGGCTCTAAAGTTCATGAACTGCAAGGGTCTTCCACTACAGGAGAAGACCGACTACTGCTCAGACACCGATGACGTGACTAGAGTCACCGACAGAGCAGCACGTGTTCCCGATGCGTCTCTGTTAGTGAGTGAGTGCCCTTCAGCACAGAAGAGCACCCACTACATTCCAGACACCCTCGCTGCCCTCACGACACAGGATAAGCCCTCCAGTAACAGCAACGAATAAACTGCCAAGAAGAATAGGCGCACCAGGGGTCGAAGACCTGCAGCTCAAGTCGTTCGGGGATTGGTAGATCAAGATTCATTCGCACCGCGAATAGCAGGCAGATAGAACCTACCATGATTAGCGAGGAGGACGCCAATAAATGGCGTAACGTAGTCTCTCGTAAAAAGGGAGATGAGGACAATACATTGGCCACACTGCCCACGAAGGACAGAAAGACATTTACGCAGCAGAGCAAGAAAGCCACGGCAAGCAAACCTGATCTCTCTGACAGGTCGCTCATTCTCCACGAAGTGGAAGAGTCACTGGCCCCCGATCCCAGGACTAGATTTAAGCATGACCTTAACTTGGTTAAGCCCCTCTTAGACAAGCTACTGCCACAAACAGTATCAGGCATTACTATACATAGCGTATACATAATAGGCCAAAAGCCTGACCCTACAGTAAGTCAGCCTGTACGTGTCCTCAAAGTGGTACTAAACTCTAAAGAAGAGAGGGATGCTATTCTAAGCAACTCTCATATTCTTAAAGGATCATAAAAATGCATTTATCGACGAGAAAAGTGCAGGTAATAAAACAACACTAAGCGAGAGGGTTTCCTTTACATAGATTAAAAATGTTTCCCGACAGTGAAGAATGTAAGCTATCAAGTTAACCAAATTTCTATGCATGTACTTATCGAGGTGAATAATAATGTCTACTTTTCAGCTGTTTTCACCCATATTACATATTTAACTTTCCTCTAAAAGTCTTCGATTGAGTTTGTACGTATTTTAGTCACACTGTGAACGAAATCTGCTGAATGAGTGATAACACGGTGACTGTAATTTGAATTTGACGAGCCATTATAAATTATCCATTCGTTTGTGTGAGTGCTGCTAACGGTAACTGTTAACCTTTAACGTTGATGGATAAAAGGGTGGCCACGTTATGACTGATTAGCACTTCCACAATTCTTCTACCAGTTTAGTGACGTAGGTGACCGATTTACCCAACCAATAATCATCATCTGGCGTCCACGATTACCCTGCTTCTTTCTCGAGACCACTCACTCTATATGATCAATGTCTTCCAGGATGTCACAACTCGACAATGTCGGTGCCACTGTACTGTAGATTCCAGTAATTTCTATGTCTGCGCGGCGACAGCTTCCAGGAAACCAGTTAGTTTGACTGTTTGAACAACTCCGAGATTTTCAGTTGACATGCACATTATGTGGTAACTCTATCCCTGCTTACCCAACGTGGTGTCTAAGCTGTTTTTCACACCTCTCTAACCAGCGAGCGGGAATATAACACTTACTGCTGTTAAAAGGTGTATTTATTAACGACAGTTTGAATAGATTATAACATCTTATCCACATAAATTAAGCATTAACACGATTAACATGCCGCTTTTACAGGTATCATCATATTTGACAAATACAATTTTAGATTGAACACTGGTTTATACTAAATAAAAAGTAAAAAGGACAGACAATTAGGTACCAAGGTTGTGAAATTTACTTCTAGAATAATAATTTAGAGGGAACTGGATTAGATCTAATTCTTATTCCTTAATATATATATATATATATATATATATAGCCATTCAGTTTCATATATATACATATATAAGTTTCGAATTTCACTAGCTTTCTGTTCTCACACTTTTTAATACATAATCTACACTAGTTATATCTGCTCTTATCATTATAGTCACCTTTTTTCGACCACACCGAATGACTAACGGGTGAAAGGGTCAACCCTATCCGAATGTGCTGTACTTCGTTTCTGCTTATTGTAGGAACCTCAAGAAAAAGGCAAGTGGTTGCCACTCTATGTTGACTAGTTGTTGCAGAACTGCGCCGATTGCAGTGTCTGATTCATCAACCGAGATACTTAACGGTGCCGTTGGATCCTGATACATCAGAAGTGTGGCATCTGCAATAGCTTTTATAAACTGAGTAAAAGCATTTCGAGCAAACGCGTCAAGTACGATGGATTTGTTTTTATCTCGAAGAAGGTCTGTCATTGGCTGAATCAGAGAGGCACAGTTAGGAACAAACCGTCAGTAATAATTTACCAAGCTTTTGAAAGTGCGCAGACTTTTCACTGTTTGTGGCACTGGAAAGTTCAGTATCGCATCGACTTTAGTAACCGGTGGGCGAATGCCCTGACAGTCAATAGTGTGACCCAGAAAATCGAGTGAGTCAACGCCTATTTGACACTTTTGAATATTGATGGTAACACCATGTTGGCGTAACCTTTCAAATGCCAAGTCCAAGTGTTTAAGGTGAGTTTCCTTGTCCGGACTGGCAATGAGGCAGTCGTCTAAGTATGCGTATACAAAGTCGAGACCGCGAAATACTTCGTCGATGAAGTTTTGGAATTTTTGTGTTGCATTCCGGAGGCCGAATGGCATACGTAGAAATTCAACAAGTCCGAAAGGCGTAATGATAGCCATTTTCGGAATATCTTCTGATGCCATCAGGATTTGGTTATACGCTTTAACCAAGTCGATTTTAGAGAATATGGTTGCGCCAGATAATGTTGCCGTCAAGTCGTGTATGTGAGGCAATGGATAGCAATCAAGGGTTGTTGTGGCGTTCACTCGTCGGTAATCACCGGTGGGTCGCCAATCGTTGCTATCTTTCTTCGATACAATGTGTAGTGGTGACGCCCACAGGCCATTCGATGGCCGGATGATGACAAGGGTGAGCGCATTGTCGGATTCATTTCTAGCGAGTCAAAGTTTGTCAGGAGCAAGTTGTCGCGCTTCAGATGGCACGGACTGTCCTGAGGTTATGATGTGGCGCATAACATTGCTGGTTATGCACGGGAGATCGTTAGGCGGGCAATTAAGTTGTGGATATTTATCAACAATCGGTAGAAAAGTTGGATCAAGGATTGCTTTCATCTTCACGAGTGACAAGCTGGGGCCTATGTAGGTGGTGTCTTTGATAGACAGACTAGTAGTGTTGTCAATCAGTCGTTCTCGGTGGACGTCTACGAGTAAATCATAATGATTGAGTGCGTCCGTGCCAATGATGGGCATTGTGACGTCAGCGAGAAGGAAAACCCACTGAATATGTTTGCGTAAACCTACGTTCAGATAGACGTATTTCCTACCAAATGTTTCAATTGGTTTTCCATCTGCAGCCTGTAAGTTGAAGGTAGGTTTGTTCTATGGATCTGCTGCTGTAGCAGGAAGGATGCTGACTTCTGAGCCTGTGTCGACTTAATAATGGGTCTGGCTGATCACATCATGGATGCAAAGTAGGCGACTAGTGCCACCGGCGACGGTTGCCGCTAACACGAGACGGCGGGATAGTTTTCCACGGTCTTTGAGACGTTGCGGAAATTACAAGGTTTACGGCAACATTTCACTTCCTGGCCGTAGGTGTTGTGATACCAGCACCAGTCAGGGTTTCTCAGTGAACGTGGTTTGGAATTAGATCGACCACGTGCGTTTTGCCGTTGAGGGGATTTAGGACGACGGTAGGAGGAATTACTAGGCATGTTTGACCTAAGCCTCTGCTGGATTATTATTATTATTTATTATTTTGATTTACAGCTTGATTCCACACCGTATTTTCAGTACAAGTGTGGAATTTTCAGCATGGATATCGGTAGCCTAAA